CAAAATATTGTCAAAAACTATGCTTTGTTTTATTCTGTGTGGAAATACTTTGCCTACAGGATTACGCTTTCTGTTTTGGCGGACTCTTCTGTGTTAAAAACTGCACTTTCTATTTCTAGGAAAGTGAAGTGAATGAAATAAATTAAGTAATCTTTATAACATTTTCTTGTAAGGTGACCAATTCTAGTAATCCTTTTTGAGTAATGAATTGTCGTTTTGGAAAAGAAATCTAGCCCTTTGTATTATGTGGCTTTGACACGCAATTATTTTTGGTACGCATGTAGGATTCTTTGAAAATATGCGAACGCTTCTTCAAATTTAATTATTTAGTAATTTATACTGTAATATGGAAGAATTTGGTTTCAAACCGAAACAATTCAATTTGAGGGCACTTGTGCTAAAATTTTTATCAATTGTAAGCTTGTAATGTTATTATAAATTATATGCCATTAGCAGATATTTTATTTGAACAATTTTTTTTGCGGTACAGAATTTGAAAATGGCTTTGAAAAAAGCAAAAATTTTACAACATACTAAAAGCTTTTTCGTCTGACACTCCTCAGAGCATACAACGTCAGAATCACGGTCCGAAAGAACACGATGAAAAATATATACCCAGTTGTGGATCGAAATAGGCCAATCAGAAAAACGCAAGCACAAGACCGGTATAGTTGACCAATCAGGGCCGCGAGCCTAGAGAAAAATTACTACTGGAGTCCAAGAGAGAAAACGAACTCCTTTTGTCTCCACAATGGCGGCTTTTTCGTTGGTATGTAGATCGACTCAAAAACTGCTAGATGGAAGGACGACCGGGCTCTGCCAATTATCCGAAATATGTCGTCATTATAGAGTTTGCACAAACTGGGTTGTCTAAAAAATGTTGACCGATGGCAGAATCACTTGTTTTAACAGTGTTTCTAGACCTACAAGATCGAGGAGGCTGTTCTCTTTGAGGGACAGTTCTGTTTCTTATGTTGGAAGGAACATGCTGTTTTATCCTATCCCCCAATCTTTTGGTTGTGCGTCCTACGTAGCCAGAATCACACTGGCACGTAAATTCATAAATGACGGAACTTTTTTGGTGGGAAGGAACGCAATCCTTTTGAATGGATGGAAGGGTTCTCCTAGTGCTGTGAACAATACGAGGATTGACAGCAAAGAAACATTTAGTTATGGCTTGCCTAATCTGACTCTCGAATCGCAAGGAAGTGTTACCAATCCATGGTAGTTTCAAATAAACTGGGCACTTTTGCGGACCAAACTTTTGAACTGCCGAAAAAAACTTGCGATCTTCTCCTTAGTATAAGATAAATTGACGTCTTCTGGATAGCCGTTGTCCAGAAAGATCGTTTTAAGTTTTTCCAGTTAAGCGTGCAGTTTAGATTTCGAGCAGATCATAAGTGCCCTATGTACTAAAGTTTTGACAAGGTTGACTTTGCGTTGTTTTGGGCAAAATGTTTTTCAGCGTATGTACTGACCGGTAAAAGTAGGCTTGCGGTATACACTGGTAAGAAATCCAGTGTTAGACTTTTCGACCAAAACATCTAAAATTGGCAAGGAATTATTTTCTTCCTTTTCAAACGTAAACTGGAGGGCTGGGTGTAGGCTATTTAGGTGTTTTAGAAAAATATCACACTCAGCCTCTGTTTTGAAAATGTCATCCACATACCGAAATTAGACACCTGGCTTTTTGTCGCAGTCGAACAAATGCTCTTCATGAAAGCCAACAAAGATATTGGCCAAGGCAGGTCCCAGAGGGCTACCCATAGCGACACCATCCTTTTGTTGGTACATTTCATTGTTAAAGCTGAATTCAACTGAACGTGTTGCAGTTTCCATCAGTTCAATGAATACTTCCTCTGGGAATGGTGGACTATTAAGTTCGCTCCGGTACAAAGCGTCGGCACATATTTTGATGGTCTCACTCAAAGGGACATTTGTGAAAAGACTACTAATGTCGAAAGAACATATGAAAGATGTTTCGTTTTCGATGTTCAAGTTTTCGATCCACAACTGGGTATATATTTTTCATTGTGTCCTTTCGGACCCTGGTTCTGACGTTTTATGCTCTGAGGAGTGTCAGTCGAGAAAGCTTTTAGTATGTTGTAAAATGTTTGCTTTTTTCAAAGCTATTTACATTTTTATTTTGTTTCTAAGAGATGTCATTATTTAAAAGAAATATAACACGCTTCGGCTGCTATTATGATGCTCAAGCATTACATACCCAGACAAAAAGCATGATAAATTACAGTTATGATAATGTTTATGACATTTATAATGGATATGATTATTATTATTATTATGTTATTATTATTATTATTATTATTATTATTGTTGTTATTATTATTATTATTATTATTATTATTATGTACCGTAGTGACGTTCTTCACTGCAGTGTAATTATGGAAAGCTCTTTATCACACATACATACTTGGTTGTTTAATCCATTACGCTAACTTACTACTTCTGAACAATCGTAATTATATATATTGTCTAAGACAACCTGTTAAAGACTTTAGCACCCTGCTCTTTTTTAGTTTTGTACCTGTATTGTAAAGATGAGATCGTCTGGCAATTTGCATCAGTTTTGGGCGCAGGTGTTTCACGTCGGTCTTCTCTCTCTTCTTTTCACCTGCCTTTTTTAAGTTCTGAGATCTCTGGGAAACAAAGGCAGTTGAAATATTTTGATCAGAGTTTTGATTATGTTCGCTTGGCGTAGAACAAATTCTTTAGTTACTTGTTTGTCGTGAAGCCAATCTTCATGGATGTTCGTCCGTTCGTGCCCTGGATATTGGCAAAGCTGTGAAGCCATTACTGTGAAGAATGTTTGCTGGAGAAAATGGCGATGAGCTTTGTAAAACATGCATTTTCTGGTGTAGAGAAGGCAAGACGGCCAGGCATCTTTAACAAAAGTAAAGCAGGCATTTTCCTTTCTTATTATTGCACATTATTGGGGTTCCTTGATTTTCCTCTACCTTTTCTTTACCCAACATTGGGATGCAGATTGTAGCGGCAAAAGTTCATCATTTAACAAAATAAGTTGTCTTCGTCACTAGCACATTGATGTATGTACAATTACACGGAAGATAGTTTTTGTTAGCCATTATCTTATGTGATATTGTTTAAACCTTTAAACCTGTACCCATTTGTCATTCAAAACCTTTTCCCCATCATTCAAGACCAAACTCTTTCCATCTAAAAATCCTTGTTTGAAATCTCGGTTCATATCAACCGGTGTTTATTACAATCAAGATTAAAAGAAATATTTTCATAATTTCATTTTTCTATTGGTGTGATTTTGTAATTTATTGCCACCTGAAGAAAACGTTTGTATCATTTTATATGCATGTATCTTTAAGGTCTTTCATGATTATGCTGCTCCGTTAAAATTTTTTTTCTTTAATGGAATGAATGGACACCGGCAGACTGATTTCCAAATGTTCTCCTGAACACATATTTGTACGCTCGTTCAGGAGCTCAAAATATTTTCCTTGCCACCTGTTTCTTCTCTGTATAGTCCTATTTGCCTTGTTCTGTCTTCGTCTCGTACTTACGACATCCATTCACTCTCATGCCGGCTTTATTTTAAACGTATTGTGCATTAATTAACTGCCACAATACTAATATCCAAACAATAATTTTGACTTATACAACCAGGCAATTATCCGTTAATTGAAATAATTCTGATAAAAAGATTCTGTGAAAAATATTTTGAAATTTGATCACTTGGGCTTTTCGCTCTCGAGTCTTGTTGATCACATTCATTTTTATTTGATAATTTTTTTAAAAATATTGAGGCCCAGAATCATCTAATTTTTAAAAATATTGCAAGAATATTGCTTAGCCGCACCTCGAATATTCGTGCATCACTTTTAGCAGTTACCTGTTTTGCAATGTTCAGAATAGATAATTGCATTACTGACGTACCTCTTTTTTCAAAAGCTTAATTTCCGTTTGAGGGTGGGCAGGGGATGTTCCCCTGAAAACATAGTCTTGAAAAAATAAGAAACCAAGAAACTACTTAAGACAACTTATTCAGCCTCGAAACGAATTTGAGGCTTGAAAAAAAGTATTGTATTCCACAGACCAGTTACATACACATGACTTGCTCGTGCTCGCGTTTCTGATTGGCCTTTTTCGATCCACAACTGGGTATATATATTTCCAAGCGTAGGGTTTTTGATCTATGTTCTGACGTTTCAAACTGTGAAGAGTGTAAGACGAAAAGCTTCAGTTTACTCAAATATTTGCTTTTTTCAAAGCCATTTTCAAATTTTGTACCACCAAAAGGTTGTTTAAAAATGTTTTCTTATTTTTGCAAAAACCTCGTTATAAAACAGACAGAATCTTGGACAGAGGTTCGCATTCTGTGAATGGCAGTGCAAGCTGGCAAAGATCAATACAATCAATGTTTTATCTTAAGCAATCTTTTTGCTACCGGGGTGGCTCATTTTCCAGTGTACATAAAGATGGTTATCAGCAAATCTTGGGCTATGCTAGCTCACCTGTTTCTTTTTTTTATAGATTCTATATCGGCTCCAGTAGTTAGAGATTTTATCAAATACGCAGATCTTAATTTAGTCTTGGTTTTATTGCCGCTTTTTTACTGGGATATCGGTGATAATAGAAGTTTGTTTTTCAGAGCTTTAGGGGGTTTTTTGAGGAAACTGACGGGGGCTTTTTCTGCCCATAGATTCTATCCCCTTGGATTCTGTCAAATGTTTTGAAATTATCTTTAATTTGTATTGCAAATTGATTTTAATCTCTTATTTATCATTGCATGTAGTCTAAAACAATATGTTGGAGAAATAGGTAAAAAGTTGGAAGATGTGTTTTAACTACTCTTTTCACTTCTTTTGAAAATTATTTTTCCTAAACTCAATTCATGTTTTTTACCTTCGATCAGAATTTCCTTTTCAGGCTATTTTTCACAACTAATTGAGTTAATAAAATTCCCCAAAGTACTGCTTTTCATTCGTTTTTTTTCTGTTTCCTTGCAGATAACTATGGCACTCTCCCTGATGAAACAGATGCAGAAAAACCAGAAAGAATAATCATAATCAATGCAACCCAGGAACAACAATTCTGTCGAAATAAGATAAGGTAGAAGATGCTTCCCTCCAATAGTTTATTTTAATCTATGCCTTCTGTCTGATGTGAGTTGTGTGATATGTACGCAGTGTTTCGGAAGTCTTGCAAGGACATCTTGTCTGTCTAGTGAAGTCCTGTTTATTTTCAGCAAGCTATATTTGCACATTTGTTCTTGTTTGCGAAGAAATCAGTTATTGATTATCTGTGCAAATGTTAGCATTTGCTTCTTGATCAGTTTTTTCAATCATTTTTGTTATTCTCTTTGTGTGGTTATTTGCTTTCACTAAATATATCCCTAACCGATAGTTTATATGAAAAAACCTGTTGCTTTTGGGTGTTTCCGTAATCAGGCTCAATGAAAACACATCTGAGTTACCCTGAGCCACACTGTGTTATCCTGAGCTACCCCGAGCTACCCTGTGTTACCCTGGGCTGCCCTGAGCTACCCTGAGTTACCCTGTGTTATCCTGAGCTACCCCGAGCTACCCTGTGTTACCCTGAGCTACCCTGAGCTACCCTAAGTTACCCTGAGCTACCCTTCTTCTAACTGCGCGCATAGAATTTCAAAAATGACCATGTATAGCGTTCAAATGTTCAGGTAGGGTTTGTGCATTAACTATTAAGTTTGAATGTAGTAGTGGTGATAATTAAATGAAAAACGGTTTTTTTTTAACCGCTATTTATTCATTATGTTAAGAGAAGATATTCCAGCAAGTACTTTTCAATTGATACTGTTTATTTCACTGTAAAAATGATGCCTATTTATGTTATTGCCTATTAAAGAAATAATATGATTTGATAGACTCAAGAATATATACGGCTATACTTTTAGCGAACATTATTTACTTTTGATTTGGCTCGATGTAGTTTGTTAAATGTTTATTTCCTAAGGGAAAATATTAGCGAACGACATGACCAGGGCATAACACAAACTTGCGATCGTTTTGTAAAGCAACAAAGTGAAGTGTTGCTGGTCGCAGATTCGAGTCCTGCCCTGGTCGTGTCAACTGCGTTTTAGTGTTTTTTCGCTAGTTCTGATCTAATTAACCAGATACTAATTTGTTTTCCACAGCACTGCTAAGTACAATTTGGTGACGTTCTTTCCAAAGTTTTTACTCGAGCAGTTTAGCCGATATTCAAATGTCTTCTTTCTTCTGATTGCACTTCTGCAGGTGAGTTTTGTTTATTGTGTGTAAAACAACTGAAGAGATTTGGATCCATTGATTTGAGAATCAAATCCACTCAAAAAGTTTGATGTAAATGTCGAGGTATTCCTCAATCGGGAACCAAATTTTCTACTTCATGTTCGCTGCAATTTTCGTGGTTTAGCTTTTCTTAAATGTTACTCGTGGTAAATTGATTCTCTTCCGGAAATGCCGACTTGGATTTTGAATAATTCATTCCTTTATATTTCATAATTGTTAACGATAGAACTGATGTCATGAATAATTGATACACTCTTCTTTGTATCACCTGATTATTTCTGCAGCATCTTTGTTAGTTTGTATTTAACTGGAGAGCAAAGGTTAACTCTTCTTAATCCGCATTGTCATCTTAAGGGCGTGTCTGTAGATATTTGCAGGCTGTCTCGAAAATAATATTGGTAATAACTGGGATATTCAGGTTTTGTGATTTTACTGATAAAGGCTAAGCAAAAGCTGTACTGGCTGCTGCTTTTCATTATTCAACGTATTCGAGGCCTGGGTTCTGGAACCTTTATAAGTGTATTGTATCCATACGTACTTACTTTATTTTTGTCACTTACCTACTTTATTTTTGTCACTGGCTCCCCCTCCCTCTCCATTGCTTCACTCTTCTAATTTCCTGTCCATGTGCGAGATTCAATTGTGACAGTAAAGCTTACGAGAAGGTTTGACTGCAGAAAATTCCATTTTTGAAATTTTTTCTGAAGATATTTCTGATGTAAAGGCAGCCTTAAATCGATTTCATTTTCAATTGTTCCTACCTTTGTGGTGGTGTTATAAGCAATAATGCATACATGCGACATGTTTATTATCTAATAGTTAATCATCGTTTTTATATTTATCATAGCAAATTCCAAACGTGTCTCCGACTGGACGTTACACCACTGCAGTACCTCTCCTTTTTGTACTTAGTTGTTCTGCTATCAAAGAAATTATTGAAGATATTGTAAGTTACTTTGTATAAGAGGATAATTAATGTAAAGACCAGAATAGGCAAATCCTCATTTAATTTGTCCATGTCTCTTGCATAATATGCCATTTTTCAATTGAAAGTCGAAATACCTTACAACGTGTTTAAAATGGAGATGAACATATAAAGCTTGTTTGTTATTTCCACTTTTGACTAAGTCGTTTAGGAAGCTACTGTATGCTGTCTCTTGTTTTTAAAACATCAATTTTGAATCCAAATTCAATGTTACTTTATTTAAACATCTTTGTCAAACCGTTTGGTTGTCATTATTATCTTGTGTTTCCCTTAAAAAGCGAACTGGTATTTCTTTATATGATTATGTGAAAGTTTCCTTTGGACGTAACTTTGGTCTTGTCAATGTTTCGTTTTTAGAAACGACATAGAGCTGACGACATAACAAACAGGCAACTTGTTCAGGGTAGGTTCCTCTTTTTGCCCTCTAAGCGTGTGTAATCATACTTTAAATACACCTCATCAACTTGAATCAAACAGCAATGATGTTTCTAGAAAAATATCATTTTTTGTCTGTTGTATATGATTTGGCTTTTCCCACAAAGTACATTTATTTTCTCAAACTATTCTTGTCAAATATTGAGACAGGCTTTTTGAATACTTGATTGCTCCCTTGTAGTTGTACGAAACGGGAAAACACAAAATATACGCTGGAGAGATGTAAGTCAGTATTCTTCTTTCTTGTAATTTAACCGGAAAGTGTTGCTTCGATACACTCAGAGTCCTGTTATTCGGTTACCTGGCTATTTTTATTTCCTAACTTAATTCGAACAAAATTTACTTTCATAAACATTTTTGTCTAGGCCAGTTAGTTAACTGGAGCGAACTTGCTTTCCCTTGAAAGCTTTTATTATAGGAAGCTGACTGTACGGATGTTATTGTTATTAGATGCGTACACCAACAACTTAAAGGAATCTTGTGTCGTGGATAAACTAGGGCTTTGTCCCATGTGTAGAATTGCTCCCGCGTTGTTTTGAATGCAGCACCGTGAAAAGAGGCGCTGTTGATTATGAGGTTGTGAGTTATATTTAGGATGCGCATGTGCGGCAGCTGCCTTTTTGCCGATGCTGGTGTAGAAAATAACGCAGATTCCTGCGAAATGTAGATAAAGCCTTGTGATAATATACAATTATATGACAGCTGGGCTTCTATCAAACATTCACAGGTATTCATTGGTTTTTGCCAAAACCATGAAGATCGTCAACTGATTCTATGGCAACTTCTTTCTGTATCTTAGCTCAAATCGATTTCAAACGAATTCAAACTGTGTAGCGATTTCCAAAGTTTTACCCGGTTAAAGACTCCTTTCAGGTTAAAATGAATCCTTTTAATAAATATAGGAATTTAATTGATTTTCGGTCGATTGAATGATGTGATTTTTGTCTCGAAGGTCCAAGTTGGTGACATTGTCAAAGTTCTTAATGGCAATTTCTTCCCAGCTGATTTGCTGCTACTATCTTCAAGGTAACTGCCTCTTTTTAATTCCCGCTTTTTGTTTTAAAGCACTGCTGTAAGTGTAGGTAAGCATAAATCTCTGAGGCATGCAGGCATAAGGAAATGCATGCAAATTGCACAGAGGCGACTAGCATCTTGAAACGCAGCTAACATCTTTGCCAATGTCGTACGATGGGATGTTTTACCAGTTACTTAAGTAGACTAAGCTGCAAATAACTCAACTGATAAAGCTGTTTCCGAAATAGTTTTGTTTAACTATTCCTATCTCTGGTTTTTAGTTGAATTTGATTTATATTGTAATCCATTTTTATACCTTTTACTCTATTGGCTGTTTTAGTGCCTTATGATAATCTCACAATTTGCAGGTCTGCAAAAATCTCACAATTTGCAGGTCAGGTAGTTTAGAAAGTTCTCCAGAGTCGTTTTATGAAAAATAAGATTTTAGTATTGTAAGGCACTATAAACGTTCTCGTTTTGAAATTTGTATTCAAAATTAATTCTTAAGTTATGGTTTAATCATGGAATTTTGATCATATCAATAGTGAACCAATGGGAATGTGCTACATCGAAACAGCGAACCTGGATGGAGAAACAAACCTCAAAATTCGACAGGTAACTTAACTTGCCTTTTAAAATCTGAAAATCGTAGTCTTTTTCTAAAGTATTTTTGCTTCAAAACCATAAAAAATGGAAATTTTAAATGGAAACTTTACTTGTATTATTTATTTTCTACTTTCACTGATTTCTGGACTGCAATTCTTTGTTATATAAACTAATTTTTACTAAGCATACTTGTATTATATGCCAAATTGTTTTTTTATTTCTTTATTTTCTAGGGTCTGCCAGCCACTGCCTACTACACGACTTTAAGCTCTATGTTGTCTTTGCTGGTAATTTTAATGCTTTTTCCTGCATTTGAGAAATTACCAGACAATTGAATTTGATCCTGCTTCAATATTCTAAGGGAATCCTGGGTGTGGTTGAATTGTTCGCAACTGCCTAACCTTGAAAAGCCATTGGATCTAAGCAATGTTTTGGTTTAAGTTTTGAATACGACCCATGTTTCATTAAAGTGAATTTTTTCTCTTTATTGTTATTTTGATGGCTTATCTAAATGCCATTACTTTGAAAATCAATGATTTATTTTTACTGATTATCAATTCTTCTTTTTTGGTATTGATATTATTGTGGGAAAATATTTCGGATGATATACCTCGATTTGCTTTTCAGGGTAAAGTTGAGTGTGAAGGACCAAACAATCGACTTTATGATTTTGTCGGTAACATTACCCTGCAGGGCCAGAGGTACCTTCTAATAATTACTTTTCTTTTTATCTTTTTCAAGATATTATGTCTCCATTTCTTGTCATGAAGTGGCAAGCCTCTTTGAATGTAAATCAGCACCTTAATATTTTATAATATTAAGGGGCGTGACCCTTGTTTGAATTTTTGCCTACCAGACATGTCTTAACTTATAATGATAAACTAAGGCATTTCAAGCTGTAAACCTTAATTTCACAGATAATTTTAATATGATCGGACGGTGTTTTTTATTTAGCTTTAGTTTTTTACATTTTGGGCAATTTATTCAGTTCACCTTTGTTTCCTCTTTATCACAAGTGTTCATTCTTCATCCTTTTGAAATCGATGTAATTAATCCCACTGAACCCAGATGTACATAATCTCTTTTTTGCCAAACGTCATTTCGTTCACATGCATGGTTTTCCCCTAGGGCAGTGCCCATCAGTGGCGAGCAAATTCTGTTAAGAGGAGCACAGCTCAGAAACACACAGTGGATATTCGGTAAGTTGTCTGAGATCATCTGTTCTTTTCGTGTGAAAAGTGCAGACTAGTTTCCTTTATGTTTGTGTGTTACACGACATTACAGCACAGCATAGTCCTGCATTATGAATGTTTTCTCCTTGAGAAGGTTTGAAGCATGTGGCAATTTATGAAGGCTAGATGCAACCATATTTTGTAATTAGGAAGTTGGGCTTAAAATTTTGCAGTCTTATCTCATTAGGTTTTTTCTGATTTGGTGTTTGTGTTTGAAAGCCTGCTCTTCTTTGCCAACTGCAATAAAGTCTATGTTGATTAAAAGATAGTATCAGAATGAGGTAGTATGGCGTTTCTCGTTGCACTTCTCATAGTTCACGCAAATTATTTACCTCATGTAAATATATTGCCGAGATGATCGAAAAGAGCGTGAACACTTTTCCGAACTGATGAAGTTTGTACAACTGAGAATATTTGAAACAATAAGTAATCGGACATCGAGTGAGATTCTTACTCTATCTAAGATTTGGTCGGTTAAAATATGAAAATTTACGTATTTGGGTTTCTTTTATAATCCAATTTGTACTCATATACTGATAACAATTGTCAGGTGTTCTATTTTATTCAAATGAATTATTCATTCACTGTCCAGGTGGCATTCCTGGTGTCTTACATATCGTTTATATTTACGTGGTTGTATATTTTTCCTTTAACAGTATAAATAGTAAAGCTAATTTTAGTTTCTTGTTGGATTATGAACAAAGTTTTTTAGATTGAATTTTCCTGTTTTTGTAAGCATGCTGTTATCAGCCAAAACTTATATGTCTCAATCTGTATTTTTATTTAAGGTCTGGTGATTTACACTGGTCACGAATCAAAACTACTCCAGGTACGGTACATATGAAAAACCAATCTATCATTATCTGTCCATTGATATAACCATCATCAAATCTGTCTTGCAATTATCAGTGTGACCTTTCTTTTGTGTTTGCCAAGCCTCAGTAAACCGTTCTTTTATCACTGTGTTTTGTCTTTGATATGCTTCAAGATTTCCTTCCACTCAGTTTCTGATTGCTATATCATATTTTTACTTTTTGTGTGATTCTTGCATTTGATTGTGGTCCATAAAATTAAACTCTTTTGGTAGGATTTATGACTAGCTGATAGCTTAAATTGTGATATAACAACTGCCCTCTCATGTGCAACATTTCAGCTGCCTTGGTTAATGTATATCAACTGTATTTCCACTGCCTATGTTAAAAACTCGTTTCTTGGTATGATTGCTGCAAATGGTGCCAACTGTGTCTCTTATACTAGCAGACAAATGCGACACCAGTGTAGGTGTTTGGTTTAAGGGTTCTTTCATTGTCTGCTGGACAATGTAAGCAGGTCAGCTAGGGGCGGTTAATGAGAACGGTTAGAAATTAAGATAGAGATAACATAAGAAAACTCTTTAAGTGCAGAGGTTGCAAGATATTCTGCGAGACTTATATTGTGTTACAAATTTACGAAAAAGTCAAGTTGGCCTCCATAATGAATGTGAAAATCTGTTCTTTCATTCATACAAAAACTTTTCTTGATCATACAGAATGCCACTGCCGCACCGATTAAGCGGTCCAATGTTGATCATACCACCAACGTGCAGATTCTTTTTCTCTTTGCGATGCTCATTGCTCTTGGGCTGTTCACGTCAATTGGAAATGAAATCTGGACAAGTAATATTCTATTGCCAATTTTAATATTTACCTCTTTGTTGTCATAATTTTTTATGCAAAAGTTACTGTTTTATGCAGTGCAAGCGTATAAAAACTTTCTTAAGAATTATGCACGTCGTTTTCTATAAAGTATTTTAAAATAATTGACACGTAGGTAACATTTTTTGCCAGTCAAAAAACAGGCTGGTGCTACCTATAAAGCTGCTAAGAAAGTTTTATCAAGTTACAAGGCACATTAAGAGAGCAAAGAATTTTTAGTCTAGACTTTCAACATTTTTACCGCTCACAATTTCATTCAAAATCTACTGGGTTTTGTTGCTTTTGTTTGACTTTCTAAGGAAAAATGTTCATCACGTATATGAAATCTGAGTCACTTGATTTTTACTTTTTAGGTAAACACCGAAAAACTGATTGGTATCTTGGCTTCGAGGGTGAGCATTTTGTCTAATAGTGGAGCCGTTTTGTTATATTTTGTATGATGTGTACTGTGCACTGTCCAAATTAAGAAACAATCGATTCAGTCCGAAAATTTGCCCTACACAGAGGCAAAGTGTTAAATCCTCTCCTATATTGCTAAGGCTTGCGGGTGCAAGATGAATATTCAAAGATCCAAGGGTACTCTCATTCTTTCTTAGGCACAGCGCGAATATGACTGGCCTTAGACTCGGCGTATGAATAGTTTGTGCACTGAGATTGACGTCTTCCTTTGAGTGGCAGTTATCCGGCACATGAGTATTTGCACCAGCTTAAATCGAAACTCTGCGATGTCTCTTTTTGCATTCACCAGTAACTACTGAATGCCACGCTTACTATGTTTTGGAACATCGATCTAATCCTTTTTCGAATGTTGTCTCTTTTAGGATTAAAACCACAAAATTTTGGTCTTACATTCTTGACATTTGGCATTCTCTTCAACAATCTCATCCCAATTAGTTTGCCAGTTACATTAGAGGTAAGGTCTTTTCCTGTTATTTTGATTATTTTGTTCATTTTTTAAATATCTTTTCAGCAAGTCATTTGTGATTAGAGATCTTGAAGTTAAATTGAACTGAACAGTTTGGTTTTTTCTGTCAAGAATATTCGTTCTAGAAAAAGAAACTGCTCTAATTTTGTGTAATTATATTCGGCCGTAATGTTTGATCTCTTAGCCTTGCGTTTGTTTTTATGTACCTTTTGAAATTTTATTTTATTATGTTCTGTACTTATTTTAAGGTTGTGAAATTTATCCAAGCAATGTTTATCAACATGGTGAGATGAAATCATTTACAAGTTTTTGTTATCATATGTTGCTTGTTACTTCACTTTATTCGGTGAATTGAAACTCCAGCTTTCATGTTCATGTCAGGCATATATTTTTCTATTGCGAATAAATTCACAAATTCCATTTTCAGTAACAAGTATTTTTACAGCAGCAAGTGATCTGATAAAACCACAGAAGTATCACCTTTGCTTTTTTAAGCTTTAGTTTATGTATTGAACAGTAACATTTAAAGTATAATTATCCCGAAAGGACGAAGACATGTACTACGAAGAAACAGATACACCGGCCATGGCAAGGACTTCAAATCTCAACGAGGAGCTAGGACAGGTATTTATCGAATGTATAATGTATATTTGCATGCATCCAGCATGCTTGCTCAGAACAACAATTCATTCGTTTGGCATACCCACTGTCTTTTCAGTTATTTTAAGCGCTGCTCAATTCATGCTAGATTATGTTTGATGGGGAATACTCGCCAAGCATTGTTGAGCAAACAGCCGAGGGTGCTAAATTCTGAAGTTAAATTCGTTTGGGCACGGCAAAGATTCTCAATAATTTCCTTACTCATAAATACTTTATTCATAAACAAGCAAATTAACCTGCTAAGCGTGTGTTTTTTTCAATTTTTGGTTAAATTTTTTTTAGGTTAAATACATATTCTCTGACAAAACTGGAACGTTAACAAGAAATATTATGGAATTTCGAAAATGTACGATTGCTGGCTTAGCGTATGGGTAAGTTTATATTGTGAGCTGAATATTGCTTTTGGGGTTTTTTGTCAAGTTATAAATTTTGGTTTTGTTTATTCTTTCGTGTAAATTGCGTTTTTTGAATGAAATTTGATGAAAACAATTTTAATTCTAATTTATAACAATAGTTTCAGCCTTGGATTCCAAATCTTTCTTTTTTGTCTGTTTAAGTCAAATTTTGAACTGTCCGACTTTCGATGTCCGATGTCCGTAGCTTTACTGTCCGATCATCGTCTTTGAATGTAAGGTTTGCCAGCAATTATTGCTTCCTTGAATATCTTTGAAAAATGGATTGAAAAAGGTCCCGAGACAGGGTTTGACGGGGTTGCAGAGCCATGTTAAAATAAAATCGGGAAGGATATATTTCTTGTGAGGTAATTCGATAAGAACAGCAACACTGACCTGAAAAGGGGAAAATCATGAAAGTCGCCAAATACCATATCATCAAATCGTGTAATTTTAACAAAAGGTTTTATATCATGCTTTTAATATCATGCAGATTGTTTCTTGAAAATTGCTTCTTATATTGTTCCATGAGGTTTGGGTCTGAGATGAGAACTATACAAAATCAGGCTCCCTAGATTCACATTTCTTTTGAATTTGAATTCTCAATGCTAGAGCCAGCAGCTTTCTGCGAGTTAGCTTCTTAAATGTATGTTTTGTCTATGAAGCAGACAAAGGATTGGCACTAATATGATCGGCTTTGTTTTATTTGCAGGGGAGATGGTGAGAAGTTCAACGATGCAAGATTGCTGGACAATCTTCAAAGTCATGTAGGCCAAATTTCTCTTATCTATTATTGATTCACATCACTTCTTGAAAAGTTTGGATTTAGTGACTGAAATCTTGAAATGTGCAATGTGTTTTAATGTCAAACGATTCTCAAGAAGTTGGCATCACTGTTAGGATAGGCGTGAAATTATAACAGGGTCACGAAATGAGCCTTGAGGGTGACTAAAGGGTCAATGAGGGTGACTAAAGGGTCAATGGGGGTGACTAAAGGGTCAATGGGGGGTGACTAAAGGGTCAATAAGGGTCACCAGGGCTTTTTGGTACAAAGTTTTTAGACCACACGTAGCTACAGGGCTGACAAATATTCGATAAAGTAGCCACTATAATTGTTCCTCTCCGTTGTTTTAGGCATTTCAGGATGAGAACTTTATCAACTTTCGCTAGTACTTTCTTTCATAACAGTTGCAGAAGAACACTTATTCCACATAAATTTATCTATTTTCCAGTCGTCTGGCTCAGTGATCAGAGAATTCTTGACCTTATTAGCTGTATGTCACACAGTGATTCCCGAAAGAGATCAAACAGATGGTGAAAACATCATATATCAAGCTGCTTCCCCCGGTGCGTACTGTTTTTATGTCTGTATGATCCTTCTACATTAATCTATGTTGTATCTTTTATCAGCTATTTTTTAAATATCATTCCAAAAATCAAGAAAATCAACAAGTCTATTCTTGATTTTTAGATGAAGGTGCACTTGTTAAAGGCGCTAAACAACTGGGGTTTTCCTTCAGTGTCAGAACTCCAACCTCCGTCATAATCAACGTGGTATGATTTTTCAATCTAATTGATTTTTTTTTTAATTGAGAGTCTTTTAAAATTATTTTGCTTTTTAACAGTAAGCTGTTATTTAATCATAAGATCAGTACACTTTGGTTTAGTTAAAGATCAGTTCAAAAAGAAGATAACTTGATTTAAGTATCAAGAGGCTATGGAAACCAGAGTTTAATTAGGTCTTGTTGTCATTTCCTAGCTTGGCCAAGAAGAGGTTTATGAAATTTTGAATGTATTAGAATTCAACAGGTAAGCTGTTCTTTGCAGATTTTTTATTCATGTTATAAGTACTAACTTTTCTTGGACAGTTATCAAGATCTATATATTGATGTTTGATGCGTCTAATGTTTATTTAGAAGCAATTTAAATTAGTTGTATCCTCAGCAAAAGTTCCCAGTTCTTCCAAAAGCCGTTACAGCTGGGGATGTTTTCCCTTTGCAAAATAGAATATTCCTCTTTAGATTGATCACCATTTGCAGATTCAATGAACTATATATCTATACTTCTTTGTTTTGTTTGTTTTTCTTTACCTGAGCTGCTTTTGAGTTTCCTGGGGGTTGCTTGGGGGCTGGTTGGGGTGCCAGGGGATTGCTTATGGGCTTGTTGTGGGCTGGTTGAAAAATGATAGGCGAGACTCACTCACAGGCTAGTAGTTCAATTACTTATTTGAAATGTACTTTTTTGGGTTTATTAACAGTACACGCAAAAGAATGTCTGTGATAGTGCGGACTCCAACGGGTCAAATTAAACTGTACTGTAAAGGAGCGGTAAGTTAATTTAAATTTTCGTTAGTTTAATTAAAAAGTTTGTCTATTGATTTTCATTCTTTGTTACTCTCAAAAGAGGTATGTCAAATTATTTAAGTATTTATTACAGTCCGTTGTGAATAGGTGTCCGTTGTAGAGAGGTGTCCGTTGTATTGAGGTGTCCGTTGTAGAGAGGTGTCTGTTGTAGAGAGGTGTCTGTTGTAAAGAGGTGTTTGTTATAGAGAGGTGTCCTTTTCTATTGAGGTGTCCCCTGTATTGAGGTGTCCGTTGTATTAAGGTGTCTGTTATATTGAGGTGTCCGTTGTAGAGAGGTGTCCGTTGTAGAGAGGTGTCCGTTGTAGAGAGGTGTCCGTTGTATTGAGGTGTCCGTTGTAGAGAGGTGTCCGTTGTATTGAGGTGTCCGTGTAGAGAGGTCTCCGTTGTATTGAGGTGTCCATTGTAGAAGATTGTCTTTTGTGAAGAGATGTCCGTTGTAGAGAGTTGTCCGTTTTAGAAGATTGTCTTTTGTGAAGAGATGTCCGTTGTAAAAAGATGTCCGTTGTAGATAGTTGTCCGTTGTAGATAGTTGTCCGTTTTAGAGAGGTGTCCGTTGTAGAAGACTGAAGAGAAATATTGGGACAAAAACATTAGTCTATAATTTGGAGGTTTCCGTTATTGAGAGGTTCTGCTAATAAAGGTTTAACTATAATTATCATCTCTGTTTCGACAGGACAATGTCATTTACGATCGACTAGGCAGTGAGCAGATATGTGACAAAGCGACGTTGCAACACATGGAAGATTTTGCTAGAGAAGGTAACGATACAACAAGCTCGATCATTCCTGTATATTTTGCTATCCAGTTTTTTCAGGTTTCATGCATACCAATAAACGTACTACTATTCACATTGGTTTTTGTTAGTCTCTGTGTGGTCAAAATGCAGTTGACCCAACGTTTGTATTTGTATTTGTTTCTCACTGAGAAGATTATGCTGATCGGGCAATGTCCTCGTCCTTCCTCTTGATGTGACCACACCTCGTGATTCCAATGCCTGGAATTACAGAGAGCTGGCGACTCTCCTCACTCTGGGTGAAAGTTTGGTCATGCCAGGGACTCGAACCACGGACCCTTGGGTCTGTAGTCAGCGCCTCTCCTCGCACGAGATGTGTAGATGTGATCCAACGTCAAAGAGATGTGTAGGCATTTTGATCCGCAAGGCATTTTGATTATGTATCATATCGCAAAGTCAGATCGGGCTTTTGCCCATCATTTCAGTGTCAGCAAGATGCGCTTATAAAAAAATCCGTTTTTTAGGTCTTCGAACACTGTGCATAGCAATGACTGAGCTTAGCGAAAGCGAGTACGAGGAATGGAACAAAGAATTCTACAAAGCAAGCACTGCCTTTGATGAGAGAGATGCAAAAGTTGATGAAGCTAGTGAGAATATTGAGAAGAACTTGTTCTTACTCGGTGCAACTGCAATAGAAGACAAACTACAGGAAGGTGTTCCTGACAGTATTGCTACCTTGTCAGCAGCTAACATTAAAATCTGGGTTCTTACTGGAGACAAACAAGAGACAGCCATTAATATAGGTGATTAGCCAGCTACTTCAACCTCCAGCGTTCACTCTTTTCTTCGAGTCAACCGATCAATCTATTCAATTTTCTTTTAATTCTTAATGTAAGTAGTTCTTATCCGTGCATAATTATTCGATTTAAATGCTGATACCGGAGTAAGGTTATTGGGCCCCTAAACAGATAAGGAAGTGCAAAGTTCTGGGGTTTATATTTTTTCCATTTATGTTTCTCACTGTAGATTTACTTGACCAACAAATAAGTCTTGTTTTATGTCTTACAAATTATTTCTCAAGGTAATGTCTTTCTTGTAATCATGAGAGTGATAGCGACGTTGAGGATAATAGATTTTTCTTATCTGTTTTTAAGGATTTTCATGCAAGCTGTTGACAGACCAACTTGATATCCTGATTTGTGAAGGAAACAATTTAACGGTACGTACGTCATCTTAGTAGCAACGCCTTTTCTTTATTTGCTACACATACTTCCTGATCATCAATACTTCGAGGTAAATTTGCTACAAATTCTGAAATAGGCATGGTTTTGTTTTATACAGGCAGGAGTATCGATTTACTGCATACAGGCAGGAGTATGGATTTTGCCCTAAGAGAATACTTTTCTACAACCTAAGATAGCAGGAGTTGACCGTATAGATTGCAGTTATTTTTTTCAGAAGTTATTTCTTGACCATGTGTCTGCATATTGCAGCCAATGTCAAATCAACTAATTCTTATAGATCTTTAAGCATTTTAACTTTGCTAATTTTTGAGCCATCTTTCTTCAATGCTATTTTTTGCAGGAAGTTAAAGACTGGCTCAACGATCGCCTACAAGACCATGGTATTACACGATTCCAACCTAAGAAAAAGAAGCAGAAGAGAATTGTGAAAGAAACAAAGGTGAGAATATTTTAAAAGTATGTGCACCCAGAAAGGTAAAGCATTTTTCAAATCCACTCTGTACTTTCCCTTCAAATTGTATTGCAGCTGTTGTATTTTAAAAGATTATTTTATTTTGTTGCATGTTTCAAGAATGTTTTTATAAATAATCGAATCACCTTAAACATTTTTCTGTCCTTTCTATTACTACCAGTTGATTCGTCCCACTTCGTACTTGCGATACTTTTAGTTGCTAGTACATACAGTGGAACCTCCATCAACGGACACCTCAATACAACGGACACCTCCAAACAACGGACAGATTTTTGAGTCCCAAAACAAAGGTTAAAAAAAGATGACACCTCCATACAGCGGAGACCTCTCTACAACGGACAATAATATTGGTCCCACTGGTGTCCGTTATATGGAGGTTCCACTGTACTTCGCTGCTAGAAGATTGACACTCTTCTTATTATCTTTAGGAGTTGGCACTTATAGTCACTGGACAGGTGAGCATTATGTTTGTGTTCGTTATTTAACCAGTTAAAGTTAATGTTTTCTTTATATTAACTGCTCATGCTTTTTGTGCTTCACTCCTTTCAGTCAAATTTTAAACTAGTGAAGACTTAAATGGTAAAGTTTGCCACGTCTGGCCAATCTGTCAATTAAGTCAATGCTGTTTAGTCTCTGTGTTTCCACATAATTAGATATATAGGAATGAGGATCCTTTTTATATGTCAATTGGCTTTTGTGTATATTTATATAGATTCATTGCAACCTATTAGTATTTTCATTTCCAAGAAATAACTGTAATGATATTATGCTGTTCTATTCAAAGTTTTTCATTGTGCAGGTTCTTCACCATGCTTTGAAGGCAGAGTGTAGAGATTTCTTTTTAGATCTTGCATTGGTTTGCAGAGCTGTCATATGCTGCAGGTATCAAGCAATTACACTACACTTGATTACATTACTATTGCAACCGTTAATGCCCTTGTAAGTACAATCCACCAACGCTATGAGATCAGGAGTATGTAGCTTAAGCTCTCTTGGACTGCCAGATTTAAGAAACCAACTCAAATAATTTCGGACTTTAAAGAGGCCAGCAAAAATGCATTAAAGAGGTTTGCTTCACAAGTAGATTTCAAGTCAAGAAGGCATTTAAGCTTGTTTTTGTAGGTTAAGTGTGGCTATTTCGGTGTGCTGGGCTTATTGCATTGCTTGAAATTTTGATGATGTTAATTTTGCAATTCCTCTTACTGATACAGAATAGCGAGTCTTTTTCTAGCTTTTTGAAATATCTTTCTTCAGAGTCTCCCCTTTGCAAAAATCCCAAGTTGTGAATTTAGTCAAACAAAACGTTGAAGATGCAATCACCCTTGCTATTGGCGATGGTGCCAATGACGTCAGCATGATCCAGGTATGCTTTTCCCGCTCATTTATTTCTTATAAAAATTGCATATATTTTGATGTTAAAGCAGAAATTTACAGACATTTACAACACTATTTTTCTTTGTAAATGATAATTCATGTTTTATTTGAGATGACTATGGTTTTTCCCTGTTTTTCGAAAAGTATATTACTGAAGAAGCATCTTGTTTATTGCAGGCTGCACACGTAGGTGTTGGCATTAGCGGCCAAGAGGGATTGCAAGCGGCCAGTGCTTCTGATTACGCTATTGCTCAGGTACCGAGTTGCCTTAAGGCCGATTTCCATTTTAAATTGTTTGTGCGCGCGGGCGTAGCGCCCAAATCTGAGCGTGCGTAGTTAAGTGCTGCTGTCAAGTGGTCGAGCGCACAAAAAAGTTGAGACCCTATCAACTTTCTGGCGCTCACAGCGGACGCAAAATCAAGACCACTTGATTTTAACTACGCATGCTCAGATTTGGGCGCTACGCCCGCGTGCACAAAAAATGTCAAATGGAAATCGGCCTTTATGTATATGCCCTGTGTTAATGTAGTCTTTCAAGAACATTAGAGTATCAAAAATGTATGTATTCATGGGAACGCCCCCTCTATTGAATGCCCTTATGAATGTACGCCATGTATAAGTATCTAAATCCGGGAATGTTTAATACCAGTAAATACGCATTATTACACACAAAAAACAAGTAGATTGCAAGGTACAAGCAGCCTGATCAAAAGCTTCATACCTACAACAATTTCATTGGTCCTAGTCGTGTATTTGCATCAATATAAGCATACAATCTTAACTTCTTTGACGGGACATTTGAATACTCAAGACTAGCTAGAAAGTACAGAAGCGTGCTATTTGGTTGAAACTGTTCCTTCATCCAAGGTTTTTAATTGGAGCTAGTGCGATCCAGTTGAACACGTACGTCGAGGCTGCGTTGTTTTTGCGAACAAATTATTGAATATGGTGGGGCTCTGTCCATTTAGCTTTCGTTCATAACAAGAGCGCATAAGTCATAACTCGAAATAGTTTTAATGCATTGGAGAAATATGACGTTTGTTGTCAAAGATTGCCATTTAGAATATGGAGATGTATGTATAAGCTAGAAAATTGCTCTGAAAACAAAATCTGTCTGTAGAAATATTATATAAAAAAAAGCTTTATACCTTATGAAACTGATCGATAATGAAATACTGTTGCATTTTAGTTCCGATTTTTGAACAAGCTACTACTGGTCCATGGCGCACTGAGTTACCAGAGACTAGCAAAATTGATCATGTATTCATTTTACAAGAATATATGTCTTTATGTTATTGAGGTACGTGAAGTTACAGTGATTACGATACACGAATTGAAAAAACATTCTTCATTTATCTTCCAACCTTTTTTGCCCAATTTTGTTTTTATTTTTGCAACCTGGCTTCATGTTTTCATAATTTATTTTCTTTCAACAGTTATGGTTTGCGTTCGATAACGGCTTTTCAGGACAGATTCTTTTCGACAAATGGTGTATTGGTTTATACAATGTGGTATGGAAATTTTTCCTAATTTCTTGCTATCTTAACTTCTCTGGGTTTTATCTCACGGCTAGCAATATAGATGGTGCTCTTCTAGTGTATGCTGTGTGTTAAATTAAACAGATGGATTGTTTTCTTGTTTAAAGACGCTGGACATTTGAAAAGGATAGCGTGTTTAGCCTTACAATATTTTAGGTTTCGGCTTATACTTTAATTGCTCACCTCCATTAATGCTATGTCATTGCATACAGGGAATAATCTTGTTCGGCAATAATTTACTTCGAGTTTATTTCTTACTTTTAATTTGCTTTTCGCCGCAACACTAGTTTTAATTCAAATTAACCTTCTCTAATGCGTCGATGTTACCAAAACATGGCTTCAATTCTCTTTATTTTTTTCAGTTGTTCACGGCCTTACCTCCATTAGCAATTGGATTATTTGATAGAACGTGCTCAATAAAAGCAAGGCTGCATTGTCCCAGACTCTACAAAAACTCGCAAAATGCTGATTTATTTAATACTAAGGTACGGCCTAATTTCATTTCTTTTTTTCAAGTTTTGAAATATAATTACTTATTGCATTTGTACTTGCGTATTTAAACATAAATTAACTTATAGGCGCTTATTTTCTCCATACGTAAAATCGCGCTATTTGAGCAGATTAAGTATTTGACCCTTGTAATCTACGGAGCTTGTTACTAGAAAGTTACGTAACATGCCTACATGCATATGGTTTAAGAAGTCCATCCTCACATGAGAAATTTCAGGCCGGCCTGAAACTCAGATTGGTCTGAAATTCATTTCAGGTTAAAGAATTCTAAGTTACTCTGAGAGTAGTTTTGGGTTTCAGTATTTAAACGCATAGCGAATTTTTTCCTAGGTATTCTGGATATGGATCGGTGCTGCAATTTATCACTCCATTATTCTGTACTATTTGCCAAGAGAGGCTTTCAAACAAGGTGATTAAGCGGAAATTATTGTAACAAGATCTTGTTGATTAGTTAAGATTCACACTTTTTATTAACAGGATGTCTAGGCCGTTGGGGAAATGCATGTGTTTTACTTCATTTTCGAAAAGATAGAAAAGGGACGAAGATAGGAAGGAAAGAAGGAAAGAAGAAAGGAAGGAAGAAAGGTAGGAAGGAAGAAAGGAAAGGAGAGAGGGGGGAGGGAGTGCGGGATGAATTAAGGCCTTTTTCTGAAAACATCATGTGAACAACAAAGCTGATGGCTGTTGCTTTACCAATGGAGCATTTCAATGTTTCTGCTGCCTTAAGAATTTATAGGCTACAATAGGTGGCTTTTATTCACATTGGCTTAATAACTCGTATATTATCATACGAATCAAAAGTATACCGCCCTATTAGTATCCGGCGGCGCTCACTGTCCAACTCCTATTGCTTGCGTCACAAAGTTTTAGTTCAAATTTTTGTTATACGTCGCAGGTCAGGTTTCTGCTTTGTGACCTTGTTAGTAAACAGTTGCTAGTTTGACAGACGCTGCTATTTAATGGACTGTGTTTCATAGAACTTTATTCGAACAAAGAAAATTTTCCTGAGTCGCTTTCACCCTGGTTTTCAAAAAAGTTAAGATTGCTTGCGTTGAAATTCGTCGTCTGAATTCTTGATAATTTTGACATTTATTAATGAATAAAAATTAATGCACACGATTATTTTAAAAGTTTGAGAAAAGTAGAAATATTCTTGCCCCCCCCCCCCCTTTATCTTGAATCGCACCCGGCTTTTAATTACACATACCTTTTAAGCGTTAAATCTCCAGTGAAGTTTCGCAACTATTTGGTATTTTAACTGATAAGCCATCGCATGAAAATTTACACTTTTTCAATTTCTCTTTCTATTATTTTCAAAATCCTTTATGTTACATTTATGTTTGGTTTTCTTAATCAAGGAAATATCTTCCTTTAGATATCGCCTTCCAAGATGGCACGGTGGTTGGTCAATGGTTTTTTGGCTGCGTTGTTTACACCGTATGTAATTCAACTTTCTCTTATACCATTGCATTCTCAATCCTTAGCCATCACAAATATTTTTATGCAGACAGTTTCTGTTTTCTAAGGAATACTCAGTGACGTCACTGGTTAAAAATGTGCACTTTTATCATACAGTTTTATTTCAGTTTTTCGCTTCCCTCATATATACACCTTCATCCCTGTTTAATTATTACACCGCCTAATCGAGAGTGATTCATTTTTTGTTCTCAGCCTAGACTTCCTGAAAATGCCAAGAATTTTTAAAACTGATTGATACGTCCAGCGTGAGACTTTTCTTGCTTTAAAGTCAATTCTTCGTTTCTTTATCTTTGTTACTAATTAACCGACTTGGATATTCTTTTCAGTGTGTGGTGATCACTGTTTGTCTGAAGGCTGGTTTAGAATTGCACGCGTGGACCTGGGTATGTCAATAGTTACTCACGAGCGTTTACTCTGACATTTAATTTGCTAGAGAAGGTGACTTCAAAGAAGACACGCCTTGTAATTAGGAAGCAAGCGACCATTAGACCCTTGTCCTTACGGGCTTCAATAAAGAAGCTTTGACAATCAATTTTCATTTTGGCTTGTTGCTAAGTTGATTTGAAAGCTGCGTCTCGTGGTTTCGCTGATTTTTCGCTCGTAGTTTCCTTGATCACTCATTCGTAGTTTCGCTGAACACGTGCTCGTAGTCTAGATTATCGTTCACCTCGAATTTTTAGTGTTCATTTATTATATAATAACTGAATAATCTTATGGTTCTCATGGATAAACAACGGGAAGACCTGGAAAACGAAATCATTTACTTCCTAACATATTCTATGATATCGTTTCACTGAAATTGCCTGTCCCTGGGGTTAGCATAGAATACATGTCTACCTGACAGTGAATCAGATATAGTTGACAGGGTTTTTAAAAAATGAAATATGCCTGATTTCATTCAAACATATTTTGAAAGCAACTTAATAATAACATTTGCCTGATGATCGCATTGGTTGTGAAACTCGGAGTGACAACTAAGATCCGTCACAAAGAGCGTGTACGGCTCTGTCTTTACGTTATCGAGCACTCTATGACCGACAGAAACAGTATTTTTCATTGCTGATTCAAAGTATGAGTTCAAGATACAATTTACCAATCTCGTTTACGAAACAAAGCCATGACTAAGTTAACTTGTCTCTATTTGCACCAAAGATGGCCATGTTGTCAGCACCAAAGATTTCCAAAAGGTTTTCAACCGATGTTTAGTTATGTTCTTCGATTTCAAAGACGTATTTATGTTGCGGTAGCTAAAGAACATTATTTTATTCTTTAATTTTGCTCACAACTTTGTTTTCAACCAGATTGTTCAATCCTCAAATCTTGCACATTTATGCCTTCAAATTTACCTTATTCTCTTTTACATTATTTCATTATTCTCAACTAATCATTATTTCTGCATTACATTGTGACCAATGGTGTTGTTTTGTAGCTTTCACACTTGTCGATTTGGGGAAGTATTATTTGCTGGTTTGTCTTTCTCGCAATTTACTGTTCCCCATTTCTTTCGATGAAACTGGCGCCAAATATGTTTGGACTGGTGAGACATTAATCTTTTGCTTTTAATTTTGGAAGATACCACGCGAAGCGATAAGGAGGGAATAGCCATCTGTTTACACTACAGGATAGTGTGAACAGATGGCTCTCTACTCCTTAACACTGAAAAGGCATAGCTCGTTTGTTTGTTTCCTATTATGAATTCATTTTAATATATCATGCAATTTTGAGAAACTCGTATTTTTGACTCCCGAACGACTGCTTTCCATGGCGAAATGAAATTTAAGTGGCTATTTATTTCGATAGTGAAAATAGCAGTCATTTTCTTTTAAACCTTACTTTAACATAGAAAAGTTACTAATTGTTGTTAATAATGAGATTAGAGAAAGACTTATACTGACATTCCTCAATGAAAGTCAAACTTCTGATAATTGACCTTTTCCAAGAAATTTAAATACTTCTTATATTGAGAGGGGATTTTTAATGCATCAATCCTCGGCATAAATTGTTGTGTTTTTCCTCTGCCATAAAACCTTATTATTTTTAGCTTCCACCTACTTCCAACTTAAGAATATTAATTGGTTTTCCACCTAAATCAATGATAGACAAATGCTCGTGCAACATGTAAGCGCAGTTATAATTAGGAATTATTTTAAAGCTTTTTGTCAGTTAAGTCATTTATTATATTTGTTTTACAGCACATAATGTTGTATTCTTCATCGCTATTTTGGCTCAACATGATCATCATACCAGTCATAGCCCTGTTCGTCGATTTCCTGTTCCACGTGTAAGTACTTCTTTAATACCAGTTTGATTTTTAGCCACGTAATACTGACTATCTGAAGTTTGGTACTGCTATTTTTAGAAACTTTTAAAAATTCTGTCATTTTGCAGATGCCAAAGAACGTTCTTTAAGAACTCAAGACAATACGTGCAGGAATTAGAGATTGTCAAAAAGGTAACAAGAATTTTTTTGCTATGATATATAGCTGATTTGATGAATTGCAACGAGAACAGTTATTGAAAAAGGCCGATTAGAACCAAGGCGGTCAAGTGGACAAATCTGTTTTCCTATTGTCTTCCAAATTTGTTTTCCTATTGTCACCAAACCTCGACTATAATTTGTCATCAATTTGTCACCAAAAATTTACTTGAAAGGGCTGGTGTTGTTATTTATCAATAGCTTAGAGTTACCTTTACATTACTGCCTTCCTTTGCAGCTTAAACCTGAAGAATGGTCTATTAGTGGAAGTGGCCTTCCAATAAAAAGAGACTTGCCACAAATTGGAAGAAAGCCTACAATATCCAGAACAGATCGTAAGTATCTGAAAGAATTTCCCCCAAACCCCTATGTACGATACATTAGATACAGCGTTTCCTGTACAACTGAAGTCTTGTAATTTGACTGCCGGAGAATCCTTATTCAGGCTTATTCAGACGAGAAAGCGTTTTCCTTTTAGTAATCATAACTAATTATTCAAACTTTCGATATATTATTTGAACATTCTATACTTCGAGCTTCTTCTTTAGATTCATCATTTTGAAGAAAAATTCTTATTAACTCTGCAGAATTTTCCTGCATTCTGCAATTATGCATAAATTTTGTGAGAATTGTCTGACTATAGCAAACAAGATTTAGTGTTTTCCATCCTACCATTTTACGTATACCCAATATTTAGCTGTATTTTATGCAGAAGTTGATTTCTATAAATTGTACGGTCCTTTCGAATGAAGAACAAAGCTATTTACGTTTGATTAACTGAAAGATACTTGTAGGACGTGATTTGTAGTGAGGTAGTTTTGACTTTGTAGTGAGAGTCGAATGCTTGCCAGCAAGAGAAAACTCAGCCAGTAGAGATAGCACAACAGGTGGAGTACATAAAATGCGACGGCGGGTTTCCGCTTGATTTACTATGGTCGCACTATATCGGCAAAAGCGAAGCATCGAGTCAGCGAACGCAACAAGGCGCTTTGCTGAATCTGCTGAACACGCATGCGCAAAATACTTGCGGCTAGTTACTGGACCATAGCAAATCAAGTTGAAACTTGCACTTTCTTCTGCTAGATTTAATTTTGCAAAAAAAAGGCGGAATATATTCACTTGGTTCTTTGGGATGTTTGAAATTGCTGCTTTCGAGTTTCTCATATTTTGACCTTAATAGACGTTTGCTGAGTTGACAAGCAAGCCAAAAAATCTATGCTCAGTGCACGCTTTTCTACACACATTGACATCCAAAGAATTTGAAATTTAAACGATAACCTGCGAGCCGAATATAGTGCAAAACAAAAAGAAATTGGGGGCTACTGCTTCACTAATCATTACTTTGCCGGGCAACTCTTCCAGGGTGATTTGCTTCTGTTGTACTACAGAGTAGTTGCAGTTGGTTAGAAGCAGTTAGTAGGGTTTTGCGATTGCACTTAGTTGCTTTTTGGTTTAAAGCAGGCAAGCAGATGTAGTAGAGCACATTTGTAGAAGCAGGCAGATGAACAAGTTACATGTGTGTTACTTTTAGAGTTCAGAAGATTTCTAATGTCAGATTGCTTTTAGATTCAATTAAAGCAACTTCCCTTTACTCTTTTAAGAAATGAATAAAGATAGGGTTACATTTTTAGGTAGTTAAATTTATGTAACTTATCTAATATGTAATTTATCTTTATTTTTTACTTAATGTTTTTTTTATTTAGAATTGACATTTATTTTATATATTTTAGATTGGCACCTTAAATACTAACTTCCTTTTTCGTTGTTCGTGAAAGCAAGATGAATCAGTATTTTACTCTAAGTAAACTACCCCCAGCTCTCTACATTAATTTATCGAGGCCATTGTGAATGTCGAGTTTTTTGTCACTGATGGAATTGCAGTGGTTCAACCCGGGTTGAGTTCAACCCGGGTTAAGTTCAACCCGGGATGACTTCAACCTGGGTTAAGTTCAACCCGGGTTGAGTTCAACCCGAGTTGAGTTCAGCCCGGGAAGAGTTTAACCAGGGAAGAGTTCAAACCGGATCTGCAGTCTTCTTGGGCCAGACAAATCTTCTTGGTACTAGTTTTCAACCAAGTCTTCTACTTTTGTCCTAGGTGGGTATGCTTTCTCGCAAGAAGAAGGAGCAATGGTTGGCCAGGTAAAAACAACTTTTAATTCTTACATATTTTTGGTCGCAATTTTAGTTTTCATTTTCAGCAAGTATGCATTCGAAATTTTTTACGAAGTACAGAAAACAGTTTTCTTAATCTTATTAAAAGCAATGATTCTTACAAGCCACATTTGGATGTTTGTTTACACAAATAATTTTTATGGTTTTCATAGGGTGAGCTAATACGTCTGTACGACACCAACCTGAACAAACCCAGTGGTAACTGAAAGGACCGACTGCTTGGTAACTTCAGACCTCGGTTCTGCTTTGGTTGGATCTGTATGTGTCTGCCTCTTATATACTTACTGTTTTGTGAACAATAAATTTTAGCAAGTTCGCCTGTTTATATAAAATTAACGTGGCTACATTGTTTAAGCTGTAAATTTAAGTTTGTTCTTTGGGCTACAATTGAAATTCATAATTCTCATAGGTTTATGTGTAACCCTCTTTGTTGTATGTTGGGATTTTCATATATGTAAAATTTATTCCCTGCATCTTAGTATCCATAGTTTTCGTCACCCTTTCATGGCAAGCTGAATTCAACTTTAGACTGGTTATTCTTGCTGCAATAGGCTGCTATGGGCCTATCCCTTCATCTCGTTATATAAAATAAAACAACGTTTTAAAGCAGGGTGTGTTATGAGTTCTACATTGAAGGATATAACTAAGGTTTACAGAGGTGCTTATAAATAACATGATTGATTTAGAGGGAATTCTTGATACTTTCATAAAACATTGTTTAAACATTTGTTGATAGATCAATGTATTAATTCAATGTTTGCATTATATGGATTTGATTGTAAAGTTTTATTCCGTGTTCGTTCACACAACAGTAATAGATTCCTGCCAGTTTCATAAAGCCAGAACGCGGTTTTTAGCAAACTTCTTGGGTGCAAATCATGTTTAATAGACAGTGTTTATGAGATCAAAATGATATTTTTTCCATCTTGGTGCTAAACCGCGTCAATCAACTGGAGTCTGTTCTTCGTTGCAAGGGTGTGGTGAATACAGTCTGCTTGACCCACAAAATGAAAAAAGGTCAAATGTGAGCAGATAGACGAAAAAAATCAATCAGTTTTGTCAAAATGGAATATGCAGAACGAAGGGAGGTGGCAATATCCTCCGAAATGTAAAAGTAAATGGAGCACTCTTCTCAACTCTTTCTCAATGGAATACTAGATTTTTTTCAACATTTCTGAAATAACTTGCGTGCCGCATACACGCTGCATCCCAAATTGATCTGCTTCCAAAATCAAGCAAAATATTTATTCTTAATGCTTCCTTCAGCCTTCATGACTTAACCAACAAATTTTTGAAGCCTTTGGTGGACTTCAGAAAAAGAGGCGAGATCATGAGCAAAAAAATATATCATAACTCTACATGTACATTTTGCTCATTGATAATTTGCCAGCTTCGCATCTCTTGCAGTCCAAATGGCCTGTCTAGACAGTCTTGTGTTCCTCGTTGGTCTTTTGGGGAAGGGATGCGTATTAGCCGTGAATTCCGTAAGCAAAATTGAGCGGAATTCGACATTTTAGAAAGTTTGTCATTTAAATCTGCTTATTCGTTAGTGGTCGTGGCTCTGTATAACCTGTGTATGACCTCAGTATACATGGCTGTTATAGAAAGCAGACATCTTTAGTTTCATTTCAACATTACTGACTGGTACAATGCAGTAGGTCCAACTATGGACATATGTTAACCAAATTTTATCTCTAGTCATTTGATAGCCAGATATTGAATTGGGAGAAAATTTCGTTTTTCTAACTTTGTGTATATAGGCGTGCTTAATCAAGCACTTTTCTCCTCTGATGGCTTCGGAGGCAGTGAATATTTTCTTTCACAGATTATCCTTGCGTGAATATAGTTTTTTACCACCATTTTGAAAGCTCTTTCAGCTCTCACGAACACTTTTCCCACGTTCTATTCCACTCTGAAATTACTTTCAAACGAAGCGATTAATTTTGCGTTGAGCCTGCCTGTTTGTTGTTAGTCTAGCGATTAACCTTTCTGCTGTTGCAAAGATCATCCAAAGAAAAACATTTCGCAGTTTTATTTTCTTTATTACATACAAATCTGATCTCCTTGAAATCAAGAATCGTCTACCATTCATTGCCTTAAGTCTACTGTCAACTTTCAAATCTTCTGCTATTCTCTGGTTACCATTTCTTTTAAAGAACGTGCTGTCTTAGGACTAAAACTGTTATGACCTTATCTCAAACATAGCTTTTAGATTGTTACTTTATGCAATGTTTCTAAGTAATGAGACTGTCATGGTTTTGCTTAGCATTTCAAAGGTGCTAGCTAGTTTATCTTAGGTAATCATGTAACGTAAAGTGACGTGTTACGCGGATATTGGACTTCAAATTGAGGATGTATCAATGGCCTTGAAGACGTGGTCTCGACAAGTTTCTAAAAAAGGGTTTCGAAACTCCTTTACAAATGCTGTTCCTTAACCAGCCTATGTACTTTTTTACTTCTAAAGTATCACTGTCTCTAATACTGATATTCATGCTTTAAATGAAAATTTTAAGTTTCTTTGTCTGTTATTTGGAGTCTCTATATAAAGGAGGTACATTACAAAATAAGGAGGTGCGAGTAGTTTTTTGCTGTTCTTAGGTGTTTATCAAACCAAATCTCAACACTTCTTGACCATCTTGTAAAGTTATGAACTCTGTATATTTTAACTAATTCGCCTTAATCTAATCTTTGTACTGTCTAATGGAAGGGCGCCAACATGGGGCTGCTATTAAAGGGTTCAGTGACTTGAATGGGGTTATACTTGCTGTTATCGTGAGTAAAAGAGAAATGACCCGTGACGATTGAAAGTGGCGGGTCCTTGCTACTTTCGATAAACGTATTAGTTCAGCAAACTTTTGAATAAGTGTTTGAAAGATTTCCATCATCGAGAAAAACCTAGTTGGCTCCCTCATCGTTTTATTATATAGGTTTCGAAAAGTTCGCATAAAATTTTTCAATGCTTGCCAGAATTTGATAAATTTTGATTTATTTGCGTAAGCACGATACAAGAAGCATCCCACCTTTAAGTTGCATTATCGTCCCTATCGCCCCCTCTGATCATGTTAATCGGATATGTGTCGTCAAAAGGCTTTTCTACTAAACTCCAAGATCAAATTCTACCTATTTACTTGTATAAGACCTAGGTTTATTAAGCTATGATACCTATTAATGGACATTTGAGGTCCATACTGCTTAGACTAAGTTGTTGGAACAGTTTGGAATACTTCAGTTTCATCGAGCTTCTGGCGCAAAATGACAACAGCAACGTAAAGGTGTCAAAGCCATCTAAAACCTGAGTTATCTTCTAACCTGAGACTTCAGTACAGACTCTAACAGAAGTTGCTGTGAGTATTGTGGCGAGTTTAGTGTAACTGTGGGTGGCTATTTGCAAGTGTACACTTTGCACGTGTTTTTGCACTCTTCGCATTCCACCTCACAACACCATCTAAATTTGCAATTGCATTTCTGCTTTATTGTTTGGATATGGGTATCGTACCCCCTTCCACAGCACAGAAGTGCACAACTGTTGCCTGCAGAGGAAGTTTTGTTGCAATAACGGCCTCTTGTGCCGATTGAACCTGAGGAAGGGTCCTTTTCACAATAATTTGGAGACAGATCAAGGTAAATCAGGCTGTCTGCGTTTGGTAGAGCTCCTTTGCCATTCCGTTTCACCAAAAACTTTGGAAATCCACTTCTGCTGGACCTACGCGAGGGCTTAACGTGCACTGCTGTTCTATACTTCTCTTTCAACCAGAGGCCAAGTGTTTCAATGCGAGGCACTAGAGCACGGTGACAAGTCTTTGAAGTGCATACTCCTGAAAGCCCGAAACATTTGCATTGGAAGGAGAGGTGCTTCTTCACTGCCTGTTTTCGAGAAAGGTTATCAGATTAAATTTAGATTTATGTATTACTTCATTCTAAAACTCAATCATAGAACGTTATGCTAAGACGACAGCTCAGATAGTCAAGTTATTGTTATAAATCGTATGCACGATGATAGGGTATGTAATAGAAGGGGGATTTGAATCGAAAATGAAATGAATACAACAACCTTTGTGTAATTATAAAACCCGCATGGCTTGACGCGTTTATTGGCAGTGACGACCGCTTCAGTTACGCCGCTCCACCCTCTCCGCGCGGTTATAGATGTGAAGAGCCCCACGAGCTAAGAAACCAAAGACTACCAGGCACTGATGTGTCTAAGTTGAGTTTCAGCTTTGCATACAGATGCTGAATAAGGATTTATGTTTTTGTAGATAAATTCTTCTTAGTGTTAGGCAGATGTATTGTTTTGCATTGTAGCGCCTCCTTCAAACTGGAATAAATTCAAGGTTCACATCGACCTCGTTCATCAACTTTAGGCCTACTTTGATCGCAATAGATTTGATAACAAGGTTTCTGAAGTAGCAGTAGAAGTATGTTGATAGCCAGTGGTTGCATGTCTTTATAAATATTTATTTACAAAGGCTAGTGAGATTTTTGCTTTGAAATGTTTGGGAGTCTTTGAATACAATTTATGTAGATAAAATTAGAAGAACTACCGGCTTGTTGAGCACTATTAGATAGGGCGAATTGAAGTTTAAAATGAAGTTCTGGCGAAATAGCCGAAGCAGGAAATCAGGCCTAAATCAGCTTCAAAGTGTGTGAGTGGTGATTAAAGTCAAGAGAAAACCTTCAAGTCAGGAGGGATCCAAAGGATGCTTTCAACCTAATGCACCACCATACAGCCAAAATTAGAATTTGATCATCAATTTCCTCTGCACCAATTATTGCACGAATGAAATACATTTAACGAGAGACGTGAATGAAGAGATTTGCCGAATCTAAACAATATACGTACTCTGCGTCCAAGATCACTATTATGTCGGTTCATGAGTGCTTCGGCGTCCCATTTCAGAAGCCCATCCTCCATTACCCTTCGTGATATTTTCATCCCTATACCAACATCTACGTCACAGTGCCATTTAAAGTCGTTGGCTATTGCCTCTTTTCTTGGGTTTTTGCTGCAGCCACAGTTCTTAATTTTTCCTAAATAGCATTCCCTGGTTACCCAGTGTGTGATGCCAGCTGATGCCATTGCATACATGAATGATGCCTCCTTGGACACTACAGAAAAAAGAAAAGTTACATATCAAAAGCTAGAGACATTCAAACGATATAAAAGTCATTTTCAATACATGTAAATTATTACGCTACTTCAATCTGCTTTACAACACTAAAAAGACGATGCCAAGGGGAGCAAAAGGGTATTTCCATGCTGCAGTTACTATATGAAGGTGAGACGCTTACACATTCGACACAGTGATTAGGTGACTAATGTATCGTTAAGGTGTAGGACCCCATGTACCAAGTTCAAGGATATACCTTCGTTGATTTAGGAAGGTCTGTATCGTCATATAGTTTATCTTGTAACAAAATTCTATTTGCAATGTCTCAATTTAATAGTTCTACCGCCTTTACAATGTTATATAAATATGAGGTAGCGATTGAAAAGCCTGAGTTAGTTCAGCTGCTTTTCAGATTATCTCTTATTGTGGCCTGGCTGCAACTTCATTGAGGTTTGAAAAAATAATTCGAAATTTTATTGGCATTTTTCTGCGGTTGACGGCTAATAAGTATGATTCTCAATATTAGGTATGGATCAAGGTATTTTGTTACGAGAATTTCAAGGCCACCACAGACTTTTTTAATTCTATTTCAATTCAGTCGCTTCATCGTGACGTTTTGAGGTCAGGCAGGACATTCTTACTGAAAACGTTTACGCTACAAAAACTGCAAAATAAGTCACCTAGGCGTGGTGCAAACTTCGAATTGCTGAGATTTGATTCCTATTGCTATCTTAAGTATTTGAAATGCAATTGAAACAAGGTCAAGTGCGCTTGGTTTGCTGTGCCGAAATGATTTTCAAGTACATGAGGTTTTATATTTGCTCAAGCCTTGTTTATTTTCCAATCTGTATCAATTGGTAAGGGTGTATTTGTTTCCTTTCTCGTAGGCACATCATTAGATGATAACTTCCTATTTAGTAATGATTCAACTTTGATTCGCTCAAAGATACAATTTTGTTTTGATCTGACCTTTACAATGATACCCTTTGAGATAGAATTCATGATTTCTAGCTTATAAATAGCTTAGGCCGAAGTTTTTAATAATGGATTTTTTTGGCAAGATAGCAGTTTTTTGGATAGATAATAATTAATAGCTATAAAGATTTATAACAACGACGGTAGATTCAGTGGCGGTTTTAAGGAGGGTCCAGGGGGGCCATGGCCCAAGGCCTCGCGCTTATGATAGCCAAAAGGGGCCCCACACCTAAGAAAAAAGATGGAAATTGTAATGAATAAGGGCCCCGCAGATTTTTTTCGGGCTCCGGGCCCCGCAGTCCCTAAAACAGCCACTGGGTAGATTACTAAGTTCTCTAAGTAGATTACTTAATAGTTGTTTATCCAAAAAAATTTAGGTTTACTCGTGAAATCTGGAAAACTAAGTAAAAACGAAAATCGAAATGGTTCTTGAGCGGTAATAAATCAAGCACTTTTAATAACGCTTTACATATCAGAAAAGGGCTAGTGAAAGCGTTCAAGCTATAACTACAAAGTCATTATACGGTTTTCGTGTCTGCAGTAAGGTAGATAACCAATAAAATTGCTAATCATCATTATCATGAATCAGCTTTTTATAGCAAACTGGTTACACCCTTCTTGCCTTAGATGAATTATAACAATCTATGACAATATGATACTTATTGGTGGAAGAAATACATCTGAAGACGTTATACAAACCGCTTAATGTTTGAAAGTCTCTTATAAACATACCTCTGGCCATTACAAAACCAAGTATTCCAGATCTGATTGGATCCCCTTTTGGTGTGCAATTCCAGCGCTCATTTTCAAACACTAGCTGACACGTCTTAATGCCATGTGTAAGTCCCTGGTAGACTGCTAGGTACAGATCTGTTCTCTCGACGCATAACTTTTTCAAAAACGGTCCAAAATTCTTTATGCTATTGCAAATTTGGTGTGCAATCCTGGTATGCCTTGATCCCGATCTGCCAAGTTCACTGCAAGCAAAGATAATGCTTTCAGCAGCGTGAAGACTCTCTCATTTATTAATTCAAAAAACTTTAAGTAGTATGGAACTCAACGGACTAACAACAACCTGATGCTAATAATCAAGATTATAATAGCATTCAAAAGTTTGTGTAGAGGTTGATATCAATATGGATACAAAATCAAATTTGCTCGCACGAAAAGTCAGTCACTGGAGTAACAGGCTGTTTTCCGTCAGTAACAGGCTGTTTTCCGTCAGTAACAGGCTGTTTTCCGTCAGTAACAGGCTGTTTTTCGTTAGTAACAGGCTGTTTTCCGTCAGTAACAGGCTGTTTTCCGTCAGTAACAGGCTGTTTTCCGTCAGTAACAAGCTGTTTTCCGTCAGTAACAGGTTGTTTTCCGTCAGTAACAGGCTGTTTTCCGTCAGTAACAGGCTGTTTTCCGTCAGTAACAGGCTGTTTTCCGTCAGTAACAGGCTGTTTTCCGTCAGTAACAGGCTGGTTTCCGCCAGTAACAGGCTGTTTTCCGTCAGTAACAGGCTGTTTTCTGTCAGTATTTGCAATTATTCGTAGCTCATTAGATTAATTACTACGGATCATTTTTTCTGTGATCCGATTTAGTCTTGTTCTTGTTACTTGTAATCTTCTTTTCCAAGAAAAATCAAAGAAAGGTATCGTTGTTTGTCCGTGTGGCTATAATTCTTTTAGTATATACGAACACATTGATTAAGTGAAATTGATAAATATTGTTCACGGCTTTGTCAAGATATCCTTTTTAATTTGAAATTTTTCGCGAAAATTCTAACCTCCATCGTATTAGACCAAAAACGCTTTCAGTGAAAAAATCGCAGACACCATTCAGGCAGTTTAATCAAAAGACCACGAAGCCTACCAGCGAAACTCGAGACTAAGCCACAGCTCATTATGGGATAGCAATGACGATGAGCAACAGGAATATGGCCAGGAGACCCGTAAATCATCTCATTTATTTTATATTGTACCATTTTGTTCCAAAGTTTCCTCCGTTCTTTCTTGGTTTGTTCCACATTTTAATGATAAAGAAGCCGTTGTGATAACAAGATATGCAATTTAGATAATTTAGAGTTTTATGCAATTTTTTCTGCCCTTCGTGCCTACACACCTCTCTAATGTTTCTGCCTCTGGTTTAATTGTAAAATAGAGCTTGTTATTGTAGTAACTTTGTAACTTATTTCCTTGTTCAGCTGAGTGAATCTAGTGGAACACAGTTAAAATTAAAAAATAAACAATTAGTGAAAATTCCTCTTTTGCCGTCTGCCATATTCGTAGTGCTAGATACAGGGTTTTTTAACGTGCAGTTTTCACAAATTGTGCAGTTCTAAAAGTTTTTTGTGCAGTTCTAAAGAAAAATCTGTGCAGTTCTAAAATTTTACTTTAATGAACAAAGAAATTCAGGAAAACTTTAGCAGTAAAAAGCAAACAAAATTTTAAATGATAATACACAAAAAGATAATAAAGATGACACTCGAATTAAACAAAGATCTATTTGGATATAGAAATTATAGATATAGAAAGACATTCGATCGATGTAGAGGAAATATAATTTTTGTGAAACTTCATAGTCGCTATATCGTTTTTGAGTCACACATACACGAAATTGATAGTGTTAAAGCAGGCGAGCTTGTTTAAGCTCTTAAATAAGCGAACATTAGAAATTCAGAGTAAAAAATATACCATGTCACCAGTTTCGAATTTAGATTTTATAATTGTATGGTCAAACGACATAGAAAGAATCCTAACTTGGAGAAAATGTAACATTTACTTCTAAAGATGTTGTGCAATTGCTATTTATACCTTGCTTTATCGTCATCAGTTTCGTCCGTCTAATTGACATAGCTCGAAAAAAGACAATATTAAAGTTTTTAATACATTATATATTACATCGCTATTAAATGTCGCTCAACAAACACAATTTTGTTTTCAAGATTCTATATAGTTGACTTTGGTTTCTTGTGATTCTATATAACCAAGAACTCATAATGGTTGTGCTATTCTCGAAAATTTGGTTTTCTTTTATAATGTACTGTATAATTCTGCTTCTAAATTGAGTTAGAATCTACTTGCTTTTTCTGCAAATCTTAAGAATGTGGTCAGCAAAAATTTTCCCGGGGTGTAAGCCCGGACCCTCTGCTGTCGGACTTATCTTTGCCCCTCCAATCTTCCAACCCTGGCTACACCACTGGTCTAGAGCACAAGCTATCTGTACCTGCGCATCGTTTACATTTTGTTTATACTTATAAGAACCAATAATTATTCCTTCAACAGAGTGCTCCTGAGAAAAATGTGCAACTCTAAAGTTTCCTTGTATAGGCAGTATATGTGTGGACAGAGCTTTACACGGTTGCCTAATTATCACATCAAGCCTGTAACATGGAGTTGCAACATAGAACCGTCCTATTCTAAACATCAATTTGTATATAAGCAAATAGATAAATGAAAATGTTTTAATCAATAGATCATCTTTTATTGTGAATGAATAAATTGTGACCGATTGAAACAATGCCATTGACAGTAAAACGTAGTATTATTCTTCAAGGTCTCTACAACGTATCTACAACAAAATGGGCTTGGACAGAAGTTTGGAGAAAGACGTAAAACATAACCGAATTAATCTGGTAGCGGAGTAAACGGTCACTGCTGACATGGGAGACAAACTGCTTATATTCTAGGCAAGTACCAAGGCATGTGGTCATTGCCAGCTGTGATCTCAAGGTCGGAAACTCTAGGTAGGCTAAGCTGAAGGAAGGCAGGAAGGAAATCTGAATTAAATTCTCTTCAATGTGTGATCCCACGACCGTCCTTGAATTTATGTGCGCCGGCCCCTTAGTCTGATCTCTTGTCTACCGTGTTCCGAGATCGTGAGAAGAAATAAGAGAAAAACGTAATGCTGCTAAACCCAGCCAAAATGAATCGTCGTTTTGAGCATTTTGGAACTAAACACCAGGGCAGAATAGCTCTCTTTCTTGAATGTGAGAAAGATGCGACCACTGCAAAAATGTTCAATGTTCATAGTCCCAGTTAACAATTTGCAGCAAAAAGGTTAATCAAACTAATAGCCTAATAACAATTAAATACTGAACGGCGAAGAGTTTTAGAAAGTTTTAAGTTAAACTCAGAGAACAGTTGAAAAATTAAACACTTAAAGACTTGCTGCAGATACATTTTTAACTTACATGGACAGCTCCTGGAGCTGTCTGTGAACAGTCTTACAATGCCTGCCAAAAGTCTTGGAACACTGACATCAATTTCCAAGGTCAAAACCAATCATCCCCCTCTCCCCCACGGAACAATGTTGGTTTACTATCAAACGGATTAGGATTTTAGGAAGCACTTTCTTTTGCGCTTCTTTTATGATATTTCTCTAAATCATCAACATTGTTTGAGGGGGAAGGGGGCGGAAGTAGCAAATTTTTTTCATGAAAGGAATGAAAGATATCAAATGCAGCGTAAATTGGTGGGTGTTCCAAGTACTTTTGGCAGGCATTGTATGTACGAAACAAGAATTTTTCCATAGCAAATTTGACTAAAACAACGAAATCTTTTCTTTCCTAAACGAGATGAATTTTTTACAAATTTGATAATTGATTACCCCTGCCATTGGCAATAAAAGATAAATTGCAAAAAATCTTGTAGTGTCTGTGTCTTTAAAAAATACGTGTTAATCTACAAGGCTTTCAATAATGTGACAATAATTGTTTATGCTATTGCTGCAAAGTCAAATCGAATCACCTAGTTTCATTAAGACTTTAAGCAAAATTTCAAAGAAAAGATGGAATAAACTTTTCCACATTTTTGAGATCGACGTTAAATTTGTTCCTATGTCACCAATTTTTTCAAAAAGTTTTTTTGGCAATAGTAAATAGTATCCTGCATCAGTCCTTATTTTTAATACTAATGGATGAGATCATTCTGATATCAGCATGTTCTTATCTGTCGTCTCAGTTCATGTCATGAAGCAGATTATATCTGGTGAAAGAATCGAGGGATTTTTTCGCAAAAATAAGGAAATACCAGGGCGTATCTAGGAATGTATGGAACCTGAAAGCGTTATATTTAAGAGAAAAGTACAACAGCAGTTTATACGGGGATAGAAATACAAAAAAATGTTATGGCTAAGAAAAGCAAAGAAAATTGACGTCGACATTCGAACAACGGGTGATCCTCCTAGGAGTGTTGAGTTTCTTCCGTATTACCTATTACCTAGTCTATATGAAACTTATAAATACATTTTTCGAATGGGGAGTTACGCGAATAAATATTTTGTCATTAATTTTAAACCGTGTCCCAACTATATTTTGTCTTAGAAAATCGTCTTAGAATCTAAAGTCGCAGCAACATATGTTCATATTTGCTTAGAGAGTTGTACTCAAAAGTGATGGAGCTAAACATAAAATGGCTGTTGCTAGATAGGTCAGGCATATTGCAGACATTAAGCAAGATTCACTTAATGTCAATAGCTTGTTGAAAATAGGTAAGGCATATTTTAGATGCAGGTTACAATTTTTCCAACAGATTCTATAAACTTTGAAAAGCATATCATTTAAAACTTTTAATATTTCGGGATAAACCAGGTAAAATGAATTCTTGATAAAGTAAATTTGAAGGCTTTGGTAATCTGCAACACTTATGTCGATGTTTGAGAGGTAAAATGTCAAAATCGCTTGGTAACTGAATCATAGATCTGCCTTATGCTGCATCAAAGCACAAGTCATCAGTACTCGATAATGCAAGTACGGTTTTTAAATGCGAACATACCTATACCTCGTTTCAACTCTGTTTGCATGTATGCCATAATGCACTCTGATTGCCAACCCAATATTTATGTACACAAATATTGCAGCCAGTTTCAAATACGTAAAGTCCATGTTCGTAGAAAACAGCAAACGTTGTGAATTCCTTTCCCACGTAACTCTTCAGTTACTGCTCACTTGAAAGAAACACCACATTTGGTGTGATTGGATTTGCTTTTAATTGGCCAATCACTCTTCCCGGTGACAGACTCATTTCAAATTGAAACTAAAACAATTGCGCTTTCCCTTTCAGTCAAGTGCCATAGCAATCCTATTGCAAAAAATGGAAAACAATTCCCAATCGCCGCTTCGTTTTTTTCTCCATCGCAGTAAACAAGGCGAAAAGTCCTGATCAAATTAACACACCCGGTATGAACAAAGCAGACAACCACTGCGAACCGCATCTAGTTTCAAACCCAACCGAAAGAGCACTGACAGACGTGTAGATGAAGCAATGTAAAATCACCCAGCAAAGCATTGCCTAAAGAGGTGCATTCGAAGGCAACTGTAATAATACCAGATTTTGTTTCTGGTCAGGCAATTTAGTGGCAGCACATGTCATGACATGAATCATCTAAAGTAAATCGCATGCATTGACGATTTATGTTGCTTCCGATTTACAAACTGTTCTGCAAAATTCAACAAAGAAAAAACTGAGAAATAAGATATATTTCTTTTTGTTGAGGATTCTTAGTTTAACTAAACGTGTATACAGTAAAAAGAAGCCTGACCCAAAAACGCACTTTTGCGAAAGAAATAATTATTGATAGCTTCTAGTCTGGACCACTTTTTTGTAGCCTTACCTCTGTTATATTCCTAGATAATACCCTTTGCTATTGCTGTAGGACTTGTCAAGCATTCTTTAATAAAGAATCTCTTTATGTTAATGATGATGAAATCTTCTAAAGGAAAAATAAAAGGAAGGGCAAGAAGTTCCGCTGGAAAACAGTAATAGCTTGGAAGCTTGGTTTACAGATGCAGGGTGACGTACTCGTTTGAATTTCACATTTCACTTAAATTCAATTATTATTTTGGTATAAATTTTTGCTTCAAATATTCTTAGAAGACAGCATCTAGAAAAAAACCTTAAACTACGTCCAATCATTCTATCTTGTATAATTTAAAACTAGACTGTGGAAAAAATTAACGCCATCTTCGTTGATATTCAAGAGCAGAGTAGTATATTGTCGTTAGTAAATTAATCACTTTGTTTTCTATTTTATTTAACATTTAAACGCAGTATACTTCCCATTTATTGCATTTGTATCCTTGTTAATACTTTTTCATTCATTCAAGATACTGATTTATAAAGCTAGTTAATCCAGCTTTTCTACATTTTTCAAGAGAAAAGCTAATCAGCATGGCAGCAATTAAATTTTAAAAATGTCCAGTTCAAGACAAACATTTACGCGTGCTTAAGAAGCGACACTTTTTCAACTGCCCTGAAAGTCATAAAAATTTTGAATTTAAAAAGCATTTAACAGTCTTATAAAAAGGTGATTCAGTCCTTTCTTCAATTCAGTTATGTGACTATTCTACTCCAAATATTGTTTAGAATATCTGCCTCAAATAGGAAATTAATTAGATTTAAAATAGTGGAAAAAAGGAAGAGCAACGAATGTAAAGTCTTATCTTATTATACATCGCTGAGCTCAATTGGAATATTATAAGATACTATCATAATTATTATTATTATTAAATCATATTTTAACAGGCTTCTTTCAAAAAACTTACATTTCTGCTATCAATGAAGGACCTGCTGTACATACAGTTATACAAATCTTAAGAAAATATAATAAAAAACAAGAAATCAGTTAAAATATAATATTTAGTCAAATCTAAAAGTCCATAGAGAGTAGGAGAGAAAAACTAAGAAGTAAAATTAGTCAAGTTTCGTTTGAATCTGCAGATAGAGCGTTCTTTCCTCAATTCTACTGGTAATATGTTGAAGGCAAGTGCATCTTGTACAACAAACGACCTTCTTCCTGCTTCATTGCTTGATTTAGGTACCACAAGTCGATTACCATTTCCTCTCGTATGAATTGAATGATCGAAGAACGTAAAGTTGATTGTGGACTGGTTTCTTTTTTAGTTTCATCAATTTTAAGTTAGCAATTTGATTTAACAATTCTTGCAATATAAAAAGTTTCTTTTTTCCATTTTCTTTTTTTCTCTTGATTTACACAAAATTTTCATTTTTTCGAGGTGCCGAGAAGAATGGAAGACAGGCTTTACTTGAGAACACGTACCAAAAGTTCGTTATTTTACGATAAACACGCTGGTATTTAAATGTTGTGTATATCAATTTTTGGGATTTCAATATTCTAGCTCATGAAAAGAAGCAAAAATAAAAAATCTTATACTCTATGTTATTTATTTCAATTCCAACATTTCCAAATTTTTAAAAGTCACTACAGAAGAAATAAGTTTTGTTGTTCGATGGCGGTCCGTTAGTGACCAAAGCTACCAGAGGTTGAATTGATGTTGGACTTTTTTGTCCTATTCAAGAAACCATTTTCAAAAATATACCTATTTCCTCAGTCATAGATGTTACCCAAGATCTCTAGCGCTCAGTAATTTAAATGCATAAAGATTACAGCCTAAGCTTACAGCCTAAGCTTGTAGCCCTATCTTACAACCTTAGCTTGGAGCCTAAGCTTGTAGCTATAGCTTGCAGATTTAGCGCACAAGTTTAGCCTCCAGTCTTAGCTTGCAGCCTAAGCTTACAGCTTTAGCTTGAAGCCTAAACTTGTAGCCTCAGCTTACAGCTTTATTCGGCAGTCTTAACTTACAGTTTTGGCATTAAGTCTTAGCTTGGATGCAGCATTCTTCCCCGCAGCTCACAGTATGAAGCTGGATTTAGCTTTGTTTAATGCAAGCCGTTTTATGCTCAAAAAAGAATGTTCCACCTCTGGTCCCTAGACAAGTGACTGATCACTTTAAAACCTCTTCATAATGAGTTGGATTACATACACTCTAATGAAAATCGCTATCAAATTTGAGTTATCTTTTGTTGCAATGAGGTTGACATTCTTGGCTTTTAAAAGTTATTTGCTGCCTTAAATAACGGTTAGGTCATTTACGCATGCATCTCAACATTCACAGTTCACCATTCCTTGTTGCCTAGGCCTAAAAATCGACCTGGAACCCCATGTTCAATAAAACGATTTAAGTTGAAGATAGGCAAATATCTTAAATAGCGCAAAGCCGAAAGAGGAGCCCACCTCTTGCGGCCCTGCAAATTGTGGCTGTATCTTTTTGTATGACGAAACAGAGATGAAAAAACCCCTACTAGACATAATGATACTTTTCAAATTGATTAACATAAATTAACAAAAAGTTACCAAATTTTTTTGCCATTCAGAATTTTCTTTCCTATCTCAATAGGCTGTTGTCTGGCAATCATTTATTCTTCTATCGAACGGCTGCCAAGAACGGAAAAACACCAAATTGACCATGAATTGAGAAAGTGCTGTGTTGCCATTTGCATCTGCTGTGTGTCGGGCATAAGCGAAATAGCGACCATCACGATAGCGTTTCTGAGCTTTGAGTTGGTAAAAACACTGATCTTTGCCCCTTCCATGCGAAGAAACGATAACGAATTCTTTTGCAGTACGTCCTACAAGAAACGTAAAGACACTCTTTAAAAAAGTCTTTTCATTTTCTTTAAGTCGATGATGTTAAGGATAGCCCAGGAGCCTTTAGAAAGGGAAGAGAGGGAAGCATTAGGAAGACAGGAGGTAAGATTAAGTTTGTTGAGTTTAGTTTTGAATAAAGACAGGTTATTTTATCAGAGTCTTCAAAGCAAAATCTAGGGAAGAAGGATGAGTTCTGGAATAGAGTTCGTGATTTTGAAAGAATAAGGATTTCGTAAAAGTCTCAGGGGACCTGGGCAGACTTTGTGAGGTTGCAGCCAAGGAAATTGGTTGCAGTTGTTGATGAGGTGAATGGCTTTAGAATGGATTTTGACAAGAAGGCGCTGGACAGCTTAAGGAGTACCATCCCAATTTCATCCCAGTAGGAATAACCCTGAAAATAAGGTCCTAACAAGCCTGAAATGAGGTAAAGTTGAAGATTGGGTGCTTTTTGATTTTTTTGTTTTTTTTGCGAAAAACGAAACGACTCTGCATATTCTGCGAATTGCTACGCATTTTAAAGAACCGATGAATAAATTATAGTGACGTAGAAACAAGAAAATTACAGGGTACATACGAACGAGTCTTTAAACATGAATAATATTTTAAAATACAATTGTCTCATATTGTTTCTTGTTTAAACACAACTCTAAACACTTGACTTAGATGGAAAGGATCTAGCCCGTAACCCCCCCCCCCCCCAATACCACCCCTGTATCGTGCCTCGACCTTAGCCCTGTTTAACCATGTTGAATCATCCTAAAGGGAAATGTAAGCAAGCGAGTTGAAAAAATCCAGCTCTTGCACGCATGCTTGACAAAAAATCGTATCGCATTTGCACTACACTTATAGAAACCTTACTTGGGGACAACCCCTTTTGCTGCCTCGACTGGGTGAAATTGCAAATACTCTGAGATAATGTCAATTACATGCAGCCTTCGGGTTCCTGTGACCTTGCTCGCAGTTAATCCTTGAGTCAATCATGTCTTTAACATATGGACCACACGTGAAATAGCGAAAGTTTAGGGTTTTTCTGTACTATTGTCAACTATTGTATAAAATCCATCCGCTATTCAAGCAACTCATAAATTTCGGTGCTTTCTAGCAGAGTTTGTGGACAAAATCACCTTTTATTAACTGTGCATATTCTCACTAGATTTAGGCCCAATGAGAATTCCTTATGTTATATCTGACCCATGGTCTATAGGTCAGGCTTCAATGCGTCATATTTTGTGCAGATGTTTCCTCTGGGAACTATATCCCTGCTTTTTGGGCTCTTCAACTATGCAAGCTTTTTCAACTGAGATGAGTCGAGCGTAAATGGCTGTGTTATTCGAAATTTGGTGAATAATTATTTAATTTGTACATTTCTATTTCGGAGCAGTTACTCTTCTTGAAATGCAGTACCACCAATGTAACACGGCTTTTTAAGTAGAAAAACAGTTGAAGTATTATGTTTACTCGTCTTGGCGTGTTTGTCATCATTTTGCCATGCTCGGCATATTTTCTTCGTAGTTTTCTATGTATCATCCAATGATAAATCAAAGTTACACATTACTAGCTACATTACTGACTTTGACGTTTTCTGTAATGGAACCAACACGGAAAACCTTTTATCACTATACAGAATCATTTCAAGTAATCGAGCGTTTGGAAGATTTAGCAAACCAAACGTTTGCAACGTTGAACTTACACTACCGAGAAGATCTCTCCTGTGTGCATCTCTAGAATGGCAGTGAAGCAAAAAGTGCTCCCTATCCTCAACACCGTCGTTTGAGGTTCGATTTAATGTGTCTTTCAAACTGTGTCTGAATTTATGCAGATTTTCAGTGTATAAACGCTTACCAATCCGGCAGTGCTGACCAGTTTATTTTCTAATTTTATCGTTTTTCTATTATTTAGACTAACCTACTAACCGCTTAGCATCTTTGTATTTTGGACATTCCCATAAGTGTTCCACATATTCATCATACGCTCCACACCCTCCACACCCAAAGGAGTTTTCTGTTTATTCACAACATTCTTCAAATCACTCCTCGATATTTTGCAGAACTCTTGATCTGATAGGGATATCCTTCATTATTTTTCATCATACCAAAAATGCTTCATATTTGCTCTGTTTGTTCCTAATACGCCTGTTCAATTTTATCTTTCATAATTCATTTTAAATATTTTATGTAGACACAAAGATCTCTTTTTTCTTCTTCTCCAGTTCATAGATTCAAGCTCACATTCATATAGCAAAACTTGATATGGTGTTGATACTGGCAATACGTTTGTTATTGTTAGTGCATCTTTTTGCATTTTTTCAAGTTTTATTAGCAGGCCTCTACGTATGTTATTCCAAGTTTTACAGCCATATAATATATCAGGTTAAGTATGCTTTCTATTAAGATGATTTTGACTTCTAAGCTTTTGTTTAAGATGGTCTTATTCACTAAAAGTTTTATTTCATTTATCGCCACTTTGACCGATTTCACCCGACTGGCAATGCATTTATTAAGTGACCCTTGGTATCCTCTTTTAAGTCTCCTAAATGTCCATATGTTTCAACTTTATCGTATAATTTAATTCTCTATTGTTTTTATCGGCTTCTCTTTTGCTGAATCCCATGTGCACGTTGTCTAGGTTGAAATTCAGCAAGTTTCGCTTTTGAAAGATTTCCACTGTCTCGGGTATTTTTTGCATTTTACTTCAGGGAAATTCGCGCTAACCTGTTGTCATCGTATAATATTGGTGGGATATTACCAAATCTTAGCTCTCCGTCACAGATTCTCATTGCTTCATGCTATCAATATGATTTACAAATATGGGTGCAGCCAGAATTGTTCCTTGTTAGACATATGACAGTTACGTTTGGTCTATAAAGTCAAAGGAAAATTACTCGTCTCCTTCATGACTATTTTACTGCTCTCCATTTCCAGGCAAAAATCTTGCTATTCTAATTGTTTTCTAGCATCATACTTTCAATAAACCCCAATCTCTCGAGAAAGACCCCTTACTATGTTGTCAGACACAAACATCATCAAAACGATTCTTTAGCATTAGAGCATCAATGCAGTTTTATTCGATTAAATATGAATACTTTTTATCCATTGCAATTTTCATTCAGGTTTCTTCGTTTAGAAATCTTTCTCAAAATCTTTCATTTGAGAAAATGTTTTAAACGATTGCAAGAAAATACCTGCAAGAAATATTCTGAAATGTATTTCAAGCTAATCTAAAAAGTGTGGTCGTGAAAATTTTCTGCTCGCTTTGTTTGCAAGGAAGCCACTTCTTTCGAATATCCCTAAGGCTTCCGCCAACCTCCCACTGGCCCCTTCAAACGTACCGCTAGCATAATGAGTGCCCCATAAAATATTAGGCATAAAATATCGTGAAGCGTTTTAGTGCGTTTTTCAAAAGATGGTCCTTTAGTCTAATAATTCTATCACTCGAGCCCTCCCCCCCCCAACTTTGAATTTCTTGGCGCCGCCCCTTTGAAAGACTAAACGACCTCATGATTCTTACTTGCGAGAAAGGCAACGTACATTTAGATAAGATAGTGGAGCAATGGGCAAGTCGTAGAGAGGGAAAAAATTAACACCCGATTATTGGACCATGTACGTTTTGATGCACTAATTAAACTAACAGTCTTTATGCTCGATCTTCCAAATTTAAGAAAATCTAGAAACTTTATCATACAGCTAATTTATAAGTTCTTTTGGGTAAAAAACTATTAAAGTTTAGGCCCTCATACAAAATTAGAATTGACCTTTGTCAGTCAGAAATTTTGAGCCCTTATATCTGTCAATTTACGTCCCTGGCTTTCCTATACAGACTTTGCAACGTCACCGTATGGCAATTCGCAACTTATGGCAACATCTACCCACAGGAATGCATCTGTCCTTGTCTTTGTGCAGATTGGCAAGATTGGGGAGGAGACAACCTCGTTGAGCAAGTGCCTCGTCTGAAGCCAGTCAGGCATTGCGAATCACAAGATGGCGTCTCTTCTGAACTCTGGTTTTGAAAACTGCTTCGCTCTGAAAATGATGCTCCTACTATTTTACTTGGGGATTTTCTCATTAAACGTGAGCTCAAAGAAAGTAAAGGAGGTAATGTTTTTAAAATTCAGCATTTTAATAGTCTGGTAGTATGGTTTGCATTCCGAAACATGCACTTCCAGAATTACTATATAAGAAACAAGAAATTTAATTGCTTATTCACAAGGACAAATTGAGGCATCATTGTAAGATATTTACTGTGATTTTCTCTTCATATAATTACTGTGGTTTTTTATGAAGAATGAATATATCTCCCCAATAAATCATTTTTTTGTTCAGTTGTCTTTATGCCACTGTTTAGAGCTCTAGAGGCTGCATTTACACAATAAATTCTGAAACGGGTCCAAATGGAACTTTTTTCTAAGCGATCCCTTTTTGGTATCACTAGCAGTTCCATTCGGAATGGTTCTGACGTATCCAATGTAAATGGAAGGTCTTTAGGTATGGTTCCAAATGGAACTGGTCTCTTGAAAACGCTTCTTTAGATGTAGGTTAAGTCATAGTCTAACATCAGACCCAGACTGTAAAGTATTTTTTCTGCGCCGGGAATGCCAGAACAATAATTTTGAAACTTGCGGATAATGAAAACTTCCCGCGAAATCGTGCACGGAATTTGAAGCAAAGACTTTCGAAGAGACCTTGTTTTCAGTGTTTTTTCTTGGTATTAGAAGTCAGAAGTTTGAATGGTGGAATATTCAAGGGAAACATGACCAGATACTCAAATATTTTGCACGGAATTTATGGCAGATTCTCAATAATGCGCGGGCGGAAATAAGGGCAAAAATTATTGCGCGGGGAACGCATTCCCTGCCCAGACCAAACTTTTCAGTCTGGCATCAGACTGTAGTTTGTGGCATATGAACACTCAAGATATTTTTTTCTAAAATTTCCTTGAATACCTGGTAAAGGATGTGGCATCTTGAGACCTGGGCATGACATGGGTGTGTCTTTTTGCTAGGGCAAATGAAAAATCATGTTTTCTCTAGAACGACATAATCTTTCATTGGTGTGTTAGATATTAAATTAAATCAGACATTAAAGTGTGTATAGGGTAACAACTATCAATCATGTCCATTTTCATATCCTTGTCAATATCTTTAGGCTGTAGCATAGTTGTTACTATATACTCAATTTAAGTGCACACTTGTACAAAAGCGCATGCTTCCACACTTGAAATGTTGTTCTTTTAAACCCAATTTGACCCAAACCCAATGTTAGTATAGATTATGATTTTATCCAAAAAATTCAAAATGTGGTTGTTTTTCAGTTCCGGTTTGCCCAGGCACCCTGAAAAATTATCAGTCTGCCAATGTCTAAAACATTCCTCAGTAACAGTATAGATCCAGACTGGGTTCTGGAACCTGGTAAAATTTTCTTGAGACAGATAAACCAATTTTCCCTTGAATTTTAAATAGTCCTAGAGCTAAGGGGACCGGGTATAACAGTCCTTGGCGCTCTCTAAATATATTGATGAGAAAAGAAGAAACCCTACTGTAGCAATATGTTGATATTCTGTATAATATTTTATTCCTTTGAAGAAAGGAGCTGTATAGTAGCCATGGCAGATCATTCTAGGCAAGAAACACAGGAATGTTGAAGAAATTTTCATTTAGAGATATAGCATTTATAGAATCAGGAAGCTGTAGACATATTATCTATAAAGAGTCAGAACATGATCAAGATAATATGAGATACTTTAAAGAATGAGATTAAATGTTTTGATATGTCCTAATTTGTACTTTGAATGCCTAGGCTCTTATGTGTGAGACACTTCATCCATCATTATTATTTAATGATAAATTGCTGAATATTGGTATACTGTTGGTTTTAAAGGAACCTATACAAATTTAGGCCTGCATCAAGCAATGCAAATGATGAGGTGCAATGAAATGAGTGGATAATTTTCTGGCAAGTGGGACTTCATCAGAATCAAAGCTACTGACAATTACTCAATGAACTAAGTAAACAAACCAGTGTGCCAGATGGAAATGCAAGAAAGACATGTTTTATCTTTCAAAATGTATGATCCTGCATAAGTTGATTTGCACTTTTCAGTAAAATGATTTATATTGCCTTGTAGAGTGTTTCTGCACAAGTAGAGGTAAAAGTTCAAAACTTATTGGAGATGAATATCAGAAGGCCCATTATTCACATGAATGGGGATAAATTTAGGACATATGTGAAATTATCTCCAAGAAACTACTCAGTAATTTTGATGCTCACTGCACTGGCACCTCAAAGGCAATGTGGAATATGCAAGTATGACAACTTTGCTTCTATAGAAAGTGTTACTTGGTGTAGTATTATATGAAATAATTCAATAATATTTTGCATTCAATTTCTTTAAAAATTTACATAAGTTTGTATCTTATTTATGTGACTTGCAGAATTAATCAGCTCCACTGTATGATCAGTTATTTCCAGGGTCTTTTTGGATTAGAAATTGAAGACTTTTTAGTTTTTTGTTGTTTTTTTAACAGAATGATTAGAAAGCTTGTATTATTGGTAAGATTGGTAAAGTATCAATCTAAACTACCTTTAATTAACATCTGTCTCTGGTTGTTCAAAGTATGTTAAAAAGTGACTAGACTAGACACTGAAAACGGCATTGTTTTGGTACTTATTTTGTGTTGTTATACACTTTGTTTTTTTGCTTCTGTACAATCAGGCATTGCTATTTGAGATGGACAATCAACATCATGGTTCTCCATGCATCAACCATCACCCAACTTGTTGATTATTTGCTAAAGAAACTTCCCACCTTGGTTTTCCTTTTACCATTTGCCAAAAGATTCTTCCTTGGCCCATCAAACATTTCCTGATATTTTTCACACTTTTGATCTTCTGTCAAAAAGGGAAATTGTTAAGTTGTTAATAATGACATTAGTTGTTGAAAATATTATTTTCCTGTTTCCAAAACCTTTTATTTTAGTCCAAACATATGTGCTTCTTTTTACATATGCTTCAAAACATTTGCAAACCAGTTTTATGTATTGTAAATATCGCCCATGTGACCCCAGCAAGGAGGGTGATTTATCACCCACCCCCTACTCAAATTCTTATGACAATGCCTATACAAAATGTAATCTTTTTCGTGTTTTTTCTACACAGGGATGTTCATTCAGAGTTTCAAATAATTGCAAGCTCATGGAGATATTCATCTGCTTACAATACAAGACTCTTCTTTGCCATGGTTGATTTTGATGAAGGATCAGATGTGTTTCAGTCAGTAAGTGTTGTCAGATACAAAGTTAGCAATATCGATTAAACCATAAAAGATTTTTTAAGTTAAATCAAAGCATGGACAGAGTTAATCATCTGATTTTGTTTCACCTTGGTTAAATAAAAAAATGCCTCTTTTTCAATGTCCTCTTTATACTTAGATAGATTTTTACATGTTCTGCCAAATGTAAACAGATCAATGAAAGTTTGATACATCTTGTTCGAATAGCTTATGTTTTTGTCTGTTTTGCATTTTGCTCATCCAGAAAAACTTTTCTCTTTCTACATAAATTACATTTTGATTTTTCAGCTGAGGCTAAACTCTGCTCCCATTATTATGCATTTTCCACCAAAAGGGAAGACAAAACGCGGGGACACATATGACATGCAAAGGTAATTATCAGAGTGTAATATCTGATGTTGATTTTGAAGTACAGGAGGGCTGGTTTCCAGTGTCTGTCTTATCAGAACATTTACTGGTGTTAGCCAACTTTTTATTGCTAGTTGGCAATTTAATTGGTAGAATGGCCTAAAGGTTGTTAAATCAGGGACAGAACACCTTTGTCTTTCATTCAAAGTTTCTCATAGACAGGTCCTTATGATAGGTTTTGTCTTTTACCCTTCTGTTTTAAAAAAAAAGGTTAGAAATAATGGGATTAACTAATCAACTAGCTAATTTTTATTTTCGTTGAAAAAAAAAGCCATAGTCTTCATTTTGAATTTAAGTTGGGTTTAATTGGTTTTATGCTCTACGTTTTGCTCAAGTTGGTCTCAAGTATAACTGCAGATTCCACTGCATGGTGGATAGCAAATCAAGAGGTATTCTATCTGTGTATACTTACATCCAAAATTGAGTTGCTAATTAAAAGATTATTTATTACAGACAAGGCTTTTCAGCTGAGCAAATTGCTAGATGGGTTGCAGAGAGAACTGATATCCATGTGAGTTTAAATGGTTTTTTATGTATCCTTATAGAATACTGTCAGTTTCACTGCAATAGATAAATACTTAATCCAAGTTTCAATTTTTCTTAAAATCTATATGGTACACTAATTTTTATTTCTGTTAGTTTTATTTCTTCCTCAACAGTTGATCTCAATCATTTTTCTACACAACCTTGTACTTTCATTGGCTAGCAATGTATGAATTTTCTTTGTGTAATAGAAGTTATGGTCAACACAACATGTTTTCGTCTAGTTTTCTGCACCACCTTGGCTAGCAGCATGACCATTTTAACTTTTATGTTTTAAACATTCGCCTTCCATCCCAAAGTGGCTTGTTTTGGTGAGTTTTAACAATGATTCCAAATAATGGCAGTTTTTAAGACCTTTGTGAAATTTCCCTTTAGTGATAAGGTCCTTTTGCAATTTCAAAGCTACAGCCACAGTTGTGAAAATCACTGTCTGACAGACATCACCAAAAGTCTCAACAATTTTAGTGTTATTATGGGAATTTAGTTGGTGATTAAGTATATATTAAACACCTTGCACCGCTAATATGTCCCAATTTAAGATCAAATGCTCATAATGCGGGTCACTTTCTGGTTGCAAGGTCAACTGATCATTGTCTTCGGCTATTATTTGAGATTGAGTGTATTCGTCTTGAATCTGTTATTACAGATTCGTATTTTTTGCGGTTTTCTTAGCTTTAATAACAGTTCTTAGAGCCAGCTTGCATGGAACTTTTTGCTGTTACGGCGCTCATGAGTCATCATATATATATAATTGTTTTGCGGAGCAAGAAAGTCTTTACTGCGAAAGCTCTTGTTTTAAAAAATTTAGAGAGTTTATACTAATTAGATGCATTTATACCTTCCCTAAACAGTGTTGATTGTAGAGTGCCGTAAAATCTTATAGGAATCAATTAGACAGAGCGTAAGCTTTTAAATTATGGAAAGCATCATTTTTTAGCGGGAAAAAAGGGGTTAGTTTCGTCATTGTACAAAAATCTGTTGTATTCTACTTAGAGGTTTGGTAGGCATTGTAGCTTTGCAGCTCGACATCAGCTGATACTGCAAATAGTGATTCTTCTAAAGATGAGCTTTTAGGAAGTTAATCATGACCTCATAATGTTTATTTTTCTTCTTCATTTACAAAAAGCAGCTAGCGTTCCTGTGCCTGTCTTCCATAACTGAAATATCTTTGTATCTAAAGACTCTATAAGCCCATTGTTTCTGTTTTAGATTCGAGTAGTTAGGCCGCCGAATTACGCTTTTGCTGTCTTCATTGGCATATTATTGGCAAGCATTGGTTGCATTCTTTACGTCAGACGAAAAAGCCTTGAATTTATCTACAATAAGAATTACTGGGCTATAGGTGCTGTGGTATGTGTTTGCTTTGTGTTCAACAAATTTCTATATGATTGCATACGATTGCTATTGTTAATAGTTTATCCTTTATAAAATATTTGAGCAATGGCGGAATGCATCTGAAACCCATCGTGGCATCATATCTGCCTGGCGCAAAATAAAACAAGCGATTCTTATCTCTTTCAGTTTTGAACTTTGACTTTCATACATTGCTTGCTTTTTTGATGCTCCTGATGCTATTTCTATATATCTAATTTGACTTGCTTGTCACTGAATTCCCAGTTCTTCAGCTATTTGATTTCTTCGTTACTTTTATTTGAACAGACAATCGTGTTTATAATGATCTCTGGACAGATGTGGAATCATATACGAAATCCTCCATACGCTCACAGGAATCCGCAGAATGGAGAGATTGTAAGTTTCATTTAATGTTGTATTCTGCAGAGATACACAATTAACTTGCCTCAACCGCCTCTGTCAGTGAAGTCGGTATTGCGCTGTTTTCTTTGACTTACGTGCATTTTCTCATAGTTCGGATAGACTTTTTTAATGTTTCTCTAAGGAAATCTGTTTCTGGTTAGAAACACTTCCACAAATCCATTATATTTAAAAAACATATTGAAACGCCAATTTTTGAGTGTACAGAATTGAGCTCGCCAGAACATATTATCTGTTAGCCAAAATTATGCAGTTTTAGGAAATGCAATATCTAAAGCTTGTCATTATTGTCGCAGAAAAAGTGATGATATTTTCAATGTTACCAAAATCTAAAGATTATGTCTCTAAGTAAGTTCGTGTCCCTTTATTTTTATCCAGTGGATTTGATTCAAGATATCAATTGTCCGAACTGGTCTGGAGACTCAAGAACACCTTATCTTTGTATATATTCAGTCTCTAATCGTTTATTGATATCGCTCAAATTCTTTAGCACCGATAAATCTTTCGGCTGGCATTAACTACAATCTTTTTACCCCATACTGAACCGTACCATCAGAGGTTTAATTTTGTGTGCGTTTCTCTACATGGACATAGTCTTCATCCGATGTTTTTACTGCTGGGCTTGTGAGATTTTTCCCACTTTTAACTCGAAAGGTTTGAGACAGTCAGTGGCTTTGATGCATTTATTTGTGTCATAGATTTACATCCATGGAAGCAGTGATGGGCAGCTTATTGCAGAAACCTACATCGTTTTTGTCCTTTGTATCCTTCTAGTTTGAAATTTGGATCCATGTAAGCGAAGTGTTTATGTTTTCACTAATTATGTGAACTGCAGTATAGCACATATTTTATAATCCCAAACTTTGCATTAGCACCAGATTAACCATATTGGAAACAGTAGTTATATCTGCAGTGAGTCAAGGCATTTTGCTTTAACGCCTCCATACAATCAAACAAGTTTAATTTGAAATATTGTAGCTTGATCATTACAATATGGAAGAATTCGTAATTCTTTGAGATACCCAAAAACAGTAAATAAAAATAGATTTTGGCTCTTGCGGAACCTGGGAATATTTTTGGAATAATAGGTTCCCAGAAACATTTTTGGCTTGGCGGGAAACTTCAAAACTTGATAAAAACAGTTTTTTTGCATTAGCAGATTTTTTCTCGACATTTTCACAACATATCAAAGTTTATACAAGTATGAGCTTAATTTTCGCAGATTTTAGATTTTATCAAATAAAAAATTCCGCAGTTTTTAAACCTTTATACAAAACTGTTACCCATTTGTCAAATATCGCTCATTTGTCAAAAGTGTATAACTTGGAAGCAACCTTTAGTTTCCTTGTCCAAGATCTTTTTAACAGATAAAGCTGCAAAATTGAAGTAGGCAATTCTTGTGCTTTGAAAAGTGCTATTTTAATTGCCTTATATCAGGCTATGCTTTTGGATCTTTAAAGATAAAGAGCTATGAAAATTACATGCATCCTAAGTTTTCGTCCTTGAGTCTTGATTGAGATCTGGGCACACTTGGCAAAGTGTTGAGACTCGATTGAGTTCTTGTTTGACTTGGCAAAGTTTTTAATTGGCATTTAATTGCGATCATGTTTGCCTCTTGAATATGTCACCATTTATCAAGTAAAACATTATGTTGACATGTGTACGCATCATATGAAATGAAAGGCTAACAAGCTGGCTGATAAGTACAAAAAGGTAACCAGATTCATCCTGTTTAAAGCTAACATCTATTACCATTCCCAAACACCAGGTAGTTGTCAATCTTTGCCAGAGATGCAATGAACAAACAAATTACGACATTTTATTGGAGCTTTTATCTAGACCGAATAAATTGGAAGCCCTTGCGTTGCTATAGTACACAATACTTTCACTTCACAAAAAAGTTTTGTCCTGTTTCCCAGGTTCCCAGAAAAGAGAATGTTTTTGCACCTCTGTTTGGCACTATGCATCGAAATGCCTTGATAGAACAGCCTTTACCATATCAAACTTCTTAATCAACAACCGTCTTCTTGATTTGTATTTCTGTAAGTTTACCTTAACAAGGCTTAGATGCGATGATTTGCCTTGGGTTTATCTTTCTCAACGACAAAGCTCAAGCCCAGCAGGACATCAAGAAGCGGAGATGTGAGTATATTTCGTATTTCCATGCTTTTCTTAAACCAGAAAATAGTCTTTTTCATCGTAATAAACACGTTTTTTTAAGTAGAAGTCCTATTTGTGGACTTTTAAAATTCATGCTTGAATTTTATTTTAAACTCTTATTCAAGGTTTATTGCTAGGAAGCACATTACAGTTTTATTGAAGAAACATCCATCTGCACATATCCAAGCGAAGTTATTCTTTTTGTATTATTTATTTATTGATATACATCTTTGGCATCGTTTCTGGAAAAAATGGATTTTTATTTCAATTAGATCTAGAAATGCATGAGATTTTTTGATTTGCATAGTAAAAGTTGCCTCATGATCGCATTAAGCGTGAAACTAGGAGCTGTAATCTAGAACCGTCCTGTTCTATAGAGTACCGAAGTGATGACGTCACAAAAATCTATTTTTAGAATTTTTAAATTTTAACCATTTATCCCAAATTGCATCACGTAATCTAAATTTTGCAAAATCAGTTTGATGTGTATAAGCATAGGCTTTCCCCATCAATTTGGTCTTGGCTCGTAACTTTCTGAACCAGGCCAGAATAACAGTAATCCGATCGCAAACTTAAAATCTCTCATTGGCCATATATCACCCAATTTTCAACATATCTACCTGATTTTGCAGATTGAGAGGCATTTTATGCCGTTCTTTCAGATAGTGTGGTCGTAATTAAGGAATTCTAAAAATATATTTTTTTGATGACCTCTCACTTCGGTAATCTATACATCAAAAAGCGTGAACAGCTTTGCCCATACGGCATCGAGCACTTTATGACAGACCGATAAACATTTTTTTTATGATTTGGTGAACTGTAAAATGTGGTAAGATGTCTTTGCACGGCTTTTCATTTTTTAGTGATAAAATTGAACCCTGAGTTGAAGCGAACCATGATGTTTTGACTATTGGTCCTTTGTTCATTCGGATCTGGAAATTCAAAATAGATGAATCTGTTATTTCTGTTTCTTTTAGTTTTCATGGTTATTGGTCTTGGCATGGTGGTTTTCTTCTTTAGTTTAATTCTGTCCATCTTTAGAGGAAAATATCATGGATATCCATACAGGTTACATAACTTTGAATTGTTACATAATACGTTTTTTTATTGAATGCAACCGTTGAAAGCATGCCAATATTCCGCCTGCAAATTATCGTTTAGTCTGCAGGTAAAACCTCATAAAAACTCAGGCATGCTCCCTGTTAATACTAGTATAAATAAAGTAGATTAAATGACTCAATTATTGCTTCTTAAATGTATTAAGGTACGAGGATTTAATATGGTCAGAACAGGCCAATTAGGGAGAATTGGCATACAAAGGCCAACCTGTATTGGAGCAAGCAGTCCTTACCTCAGCGAGAGCACAGCCTCAGAGGTTTCAGACACGAAGCATTACTTAAAGCAAGCTGACTTAGAATTGTGCATGACATTTCATCCATTAATAGTCAAATTCTAAACAAGGTCCAACAGTTTTCATTTTCTGGGACCCTAACATATAGCTTCAGTTTTGATGACGTTATCGGGTAATTTTACAGTTACCCCCGCCCCCCGCCCCCTGATAGAAGCTGTAAGTGGTTCTAGGGATACGCATTTAAAAGTACTTTGTACATTTTTATTGTCAGTACCTGTCGCTGGCAAACAGGAAATTTCCCATGGATTTTAAATAATTAATGCCTATTTTTGCAGCCTACTTAATGCTCTGTTGAATGCTTATTAACGCCTTAATTTCTTGATTCAAGTTTGAATATGGCTCGTTTCCTGTGTTGGTGACGCTATTTAGTCTATTACATTATCTTATTTGTCGTCATTTCACTTTTAAAATTTACAGTATTTCTCCCTATCCGTTTTGCTCTTATTTTCCTTAAACAGTTTTGGTACCTTTGTCAACATAATCTTTTTTCTATAAGAATGCTATAAATGTTTCCCAGTCTTAATATTTTTAAGAAAATTTCTTTTTAAGCCTGAATACATTTTTTAAATGTTTTTACTTTTTCATGAGGTGCTGTAGGTAAAATAATTAGAAATGATATCCTGTATTTATTTATCTATCTATAAATTTACTTTCCATACAAATTCAGGGAGATCTAGGCACCCCCACTATATGTTGTCGGAAAATGTTGCCAAATTTAAGAAACTTAAATTTTGTTTTCGATTTTAGCTTCCTGTTTAAATAGATTTGTGGATGGTTTTGCCCTGGAAGAGCACGCAGACGCAAACTTAGGAACCAAGGACAGGATTTGCTGCTGAAAGTTTGGCCTTGCATGAACACAAACTTTCTCTACAGATTTTTCGTCTACGTTTTGTTTTCTTACCTTGCTGTTAATTCTTACATTGATGAATATACTGGAAGGTAAATGCATTGAATTCTTTCAGAGAAAACTTTGAGCAGACTTACACAGAAAGTAAAAGGTGAAGGAAAATTTTCCTCATCTCCTCAATTTTACCATTGTTTGCCCCATGTTATTGGTATTTTCAACTAAAGAGAACTTGCCGTGTCCGTGGTCATGATAAAATTGTGAAGAAGCTGTGTTTTGCTTTGCTTGTTGCATGTCCTCCACATTTGATAACATACATAACAGATTAACACAGCCCTCTTTAGAAACAGACAGCTGGTCAGAATCCTTTAGTAAATATTCAAGCAAATTGCGGTAAGTGCACTGACAGGAAAAATTATATGACCTTGACCTAACCAAATGAAATACATTGCAGCAATGTTCTTCACAAACATTTCAAAGTAGGCATAAAGTGAAGCATCTTTTTACCAAACGGTAAAGGAAGGGAATACCCTTAAATCTCTGTCAACAACCCAAATCTTACCTTATACCGATAATCCCAACGCAATTACTGCACATCTGGTGTAGCACGTTTAGAAAGACAAGTTGGCTTTAAAGGCTTTTTGGTTTAGAAACTTTTTAAAATGGAGGACTATATAGAGGCCAAATTTGAATTTTTGAGAAAATCGCTACACCTTTTTATGAGAACCAGTAAATTGAAGTTCAGGCTGGCTAATTTATACGAAAATCTGGGGCTGGATTGTTCTTTATTTGTTCCTATATTATCAGGTTGCAAGCAGTGCAATTGCTAGCTATTGCGCTCTACGGATGTGGTCAGGTCTTGTTCACCAACAAAGTTAGTGAGTGAGATAAACATTTGCGCGTTGTCAATGGCTTTATTTACGCGAGTGTATAGGCGTTGTCAACGGGCACTGACTGTTGCAAAACTCGTTGGTATGATGTCTAGCAATTTCCTTTGATTCTGCGATTTCTCAGAAATAACTAGACCCAAATGAGCACAAACAAAGCACCAGTTCCTATTTTCCATTATTGCTGCATTGAAATTTGATGAATACAGAGAGCATCTATTTATTCGAGGTCAAGAAGGACGTTTCATGTAGCGAACGTAATACAACGCATTCAAAGAGCGTGAATCGTGGCACTTGAATCGAAGTGCTATATATACACCTTAAATGTCAGATACGCTTCATTGTCTTGGACCCTCTTATCATAAAGAAGGTCGCGCATTCAGGGGATACGAGTCCATGGTGTGGTGATGGGTCGTCCCTCCCTTTAAATTACCAATTTTAATTCAACAACTTCACTTCTCCCTATTATGTTTTGAGATTGTATTTATGAGAGCCTGGGGATAGCCGCCTTGTTTATTTTGTACCACTGCGCCAGTTTTCTTAAAATCACGTCTTGCTTTCACATATCTTGTAATGCGGCTCTGATTGACGTCCTAACAATTCATGGTGTTTGAAACATGACGTTCCACGGTCGTAGCCACTTAAAAATCTTTTGCAACTCACTGCATTTTCGTGTGGTCCTTTGACTCAAAAGTTCTGTAGGCTAAATGGGTTTGTCCAAAAATAGAGGCGTTTAATTTTATCTTTCCAACTAATATTTGGTGTTCTACGCCAAAACCAGATTTCACAAGCTTCTAGTTTTTCTTTTCAGCTGTTTTCAACGTCCATGCCTCTGATCCGTATAGAAGGACACTTCAAATAGGGGTTTTAATCATACTGTTCTTTTAATCTGAGCTAAGGCCTTGCGATAAAAACTCACGTCTCTTGTTGAATGCTGCTTTTGCCATTCCTATTCTTTTCCGGATTTTCACTTCACATTTACCAATTTCGCTTACCATTCCAGCAACCTATTTCAAGTGGCTGATTTGTCCAAGTTCTGTTCCATTTATGCTGCTATCTTTAACATTCAATTGAATCTGACCAACTTTTATTGATTGTTTTCTTTACATTTATTTTCATGCCGTATCTTTTTCCGGCTTCATTGAAAGCATTCGTAATTTGTTGTAATCCTACTTCTGAGTTGCTTACCATAGCATGATCATCTACAGCGATTCCTTATTGACATTTTCCAATGCCCCTCTTGCTAGTGCTTCTATGGATTTGTTAAAAAGGGTAGGTACCAGTGGGCATCCTTGTCTTGCTCCTACTCCGATCACTCCTGGGTCAGATTCTCCTGCTGCCTTTTCTGGCAATTGCCTGTTTAAATTCGAAATGATGATTTCTTGGATAGAACAGGAGAAAGAAGGTGCCTATAAAGAATAACAAATACCCGGAAGTAAAAGTGGCTCGCACACGTGATGGGACATGAGAACTTGCTAAAAATTGCAATAGAAGGAAGAATGAAAGGAAAAGACCAAGAAGACGGCCTAGAACGGAATGTTTGAGTAAGTAATGGATGGCCATTATAGCCATATCAAAGAAAAAGCAATGAAACCTAAAGTTTAATTGAGACGAAACCTGCCACCAGCCAGATTACTCAGAGAAGAAGAGCGCCTACAGGGAAGGCATTACCTGTGTGTAGGGCAGTGTTTGTTAACCACTATGCCCCGGCACAGTGGCTAGACAATTTTTTAGACAACTTTAACTTCAACTTAGACAACTCAGACCTCTTAGACAACAACTTAGACAACTTTTAGACAACTTCAATTAAGTTGTGTAAAAAGTGAAGAAAAAAAATGAAAATTGTTTTCCGTAAATAACGTGCCATAATGATCGGGACAGTAACCAATTAATACTCTTCCATATCTACTTTGAGAACCTCTTTATATTGTGAATATAGGCCATGCCATTGTTTAACATTTTCTGTTGGTGGTGTGCCTCGTGTTTTTTTGGATTAAAAATTGTGCCCGTGGATCAAAAAAGCTTCAAAAACACTAGCCCTGTGTGCAGACTCTATTGACAAATTTAAAAGAGGAGAAAACTTTTTCTCTTATTTAAAACTTTTTCTCTTCTTTTCTAAGAAAACTTTTTCTCTTCTTTTCAATTTCTGAGCCTGCACGCAGGCTACAAAAACACAGGTATCGGACATTCAGTAGTTATGCACTCAAAGGCAGCATGTGTCAATCTGGAGGGCCTTTTTGAGAATTTTTTCCTAGGGTAAAGCTTAATTGCCTCGTAGCTAATTTTTGGTCTGAATTTGTAGCACCGCATTCATACCTTTTTAATCTAAACAGAACCCCAGGCCGGAGGCTCGCTAGAAGGTTTTAGAAAAGATGAAAATTTAACAACGCTACAATGTCAAGTATAGAGACCATTTCAGCCTTCAATTTTAGAACAAGGGCGTTTCCAGGAACGAAAACATTGCGTGGTCAAAAAGCTTTTCACGTTTCATGATAGGCAAAGAATTGCAAATACCAGAGGTTACTAAAAGACAGAATTTATCTATCTGTGGAATTGTTCAAAAATAAGTATTCTCATTTATATCAAGAGTTTTCAATAATTTTGGCGGGTTAGCAACGAGACTTACTTTACTACTGTTCAACCTATACTTAATTTTATTTCTCAATTGTCCGCTCAAATACCTGTTTAGTTTCCAAATACAGAATCTACGCCTTGAATTCTTGCAAGCTATTCATATTTTACAGAATCCCTCGGCAGCTAGTAAAATCCATCTGCTCGCACAATATTGTGCATATGGTCAAAAAGCTCATGTTTTTAAAATTTCCATAAATTTTTTTCCCCAAAATGGATTTTAGGCGATTTTGGATTTGTTATAGAGGAAAAAATTCTACGCCAAATGATGTACGTTTTGCTTTTCTACTAATTTTTCCTGGTTCATCACCTCGACGACTGCGCTATTGGCAAGACATAACAAATCGTGAGGTTTTTAAGAGTTATATACAAATTTACCTATTTGACTCCGATTTACGCACCTGGCCTATTTGAATCTGAGCGCTGCAAATTTTTCTTCACCACAACAACTCCCCCCCCCCTCCCAAATTTACCCGCTGTATCTCGGGAAAAATGAAGCTTATCGAGATTGCTGTAAGGGATGTTGTTATGGACGTGACTGCGCAGAATTCGGGGAAATGGGTGCAAACCTGGCATTAACAAGAACTACGAGCTTACAGCCAGGGCCGCCGAGAGCGGTCGGGGGCAAGGGGGACAAATTGGCCCAATGCCTCGAAGTCTAAGGGGACTCTTAAGGTATTGAATTCCTTTTTAAATTAATCACACGTAGCAAATGTATCTCTAAAAATAGTTAAACATTTTAAACGATTGCAGGAAAATGACTGTAAGAAAGGTTCTGAAATGCATTTTAAGCTAATCTCAAAGACGTGTTCGGAAAAATCTTCGGTTTGCCTCAGAGCCTCCGAAGAATCTCGGCGACCTTATTTACAGGAGGTTAATTCATACATTGAATGGATACCAGCAGAGGGGTATAACAAGAGAAGTAAATAAAGGAAATCCGCAATACATGTTTTGTATTCAAAGTACGTTTATTGTCAGTTCAAGGTATGTAGCAACAATATTTGTTGGCTTAGTAACGAACGAGTGACCTTACCTGGCTGTCTTCAATAGTTTGTCACTCATGACATGAAATGTCGATCGCAGCCATGGAGAAGACATTACGGTTTCGATGGCGCGATGAATCGTTGGCTGTCACAAACCATTCGTCTGGAATCTCTTTGCGAGTTATTTCGTTCACGGTGCAGTAGCTTGTAAGGCTTTACAGAGAGCTGTTATCATGAAGTTACTCTTCGTGTGCACTTCAATTTTTGTCACATTGCTTAAATTAAAAGACACTCAAAGTGAAATGTATGGCATACACAGGACCTCTTGCCGGCGTGATGCACTTTTCAAGTTGACAGACCGAGGTAAAAGAATATCGGGTATCCCAACAGTCGAAGTTCTGTCCGTGACATCGAGAGCGATCTGTGTCCGAAACTGTTTACGACGCGTAAGCTGTTTGTCTATAAATTTCAGATCAACTGGCAATAATGAAAATAACTGTGAATTAGTGGACTTGAACAAGTCAAATTCAAGTGCAGTTTTAACGACTAGCGCTGGATGGGACCACTACGAACCTGTCAATCAGGTATATCATTCCATTTACTGTATGTCTTTCATCTCCAAAATTATCGAAACTTATGAAAATGCATTTGCTTTTTCAGACACGAAATTAAAACTTTGGTTTCAAGAAAGTAAAGGAATACCTATATAATGCTTTGTCGACATGTTCTGCTCTCCCACATCTCAGACATGGTTTTAGTTATTAAAACGTAGTCTAGAGATATTTAGTGAAAATGGTTGGTATCTAAGTTAACAAAACTCTTGTAAAAACTAACTTACAAAAAAATCCGTTTTCCTTAGATTGGGCCACGTTGCAGGCTAGTCGCATGCGACGCCGGGTTTGCTTGTCACGAAAGCTGCTCGGTAATTGCTGGTTATGAGTGTAAAGGTAGGACTGAAATTATATATCAATAAATGAAAGAGTAATCCTTTTCAATTGGTGGAACATGTGTGGATCAAGTGAAACAAGTAGATCAAGCGACACTGTGTTGTTTTGTAAACCTTTTGTCTAACAAGTCTATAAAAGTTAATGAATCTATAAAACATTTTTCAGCAAAATTTCTATGAATAACACTTTAGTTGGTTTAGCTTGTTTTGAAATTCAACTATTGACATTTTTTTTCTAGACATCAACGAATGTGCCAGCTCACCTTGCCAGAATGGTGGAACTTGCGTTGATCAAGTGAACCAGTATACGTGCCAGTGTGCTGCCGGGTACAATGGAACAAATTGTGGCACAAGTAAGAAGTTTTGACTTGCTTTATTTCTTTCTTACGAGCAAACCTAACAGAAAGTATCCACTCATTTTTTCCTTTTGTCTCGATTTTTTCAATGCTTGAATTTTCTTTCCAGACATCAATGAATGTGCCAGCTCACCTTGCCAGAATGGTGGAACTTGCGTTGATCAAGTGAACCAGTATACGTGCCAGTGTGCTGCAGGGTACAGTGGAACAAATTGTGGCACAAGTAAGAAATTTTGACTTGCTTTATTTTTTGTTTAAGCAAACTTGAATGAAGATATCAAATCATAGTTTTCTTTTTATCTCGGTTTATTCAATGCTTGAATTTTCTTTCTAGACATCAATGAATGTGCCAGCTCACCTTGCCAGAATGGTGGAACTTGCGTTGATCAAGTGAACCAGTATACGTGCCAGTGTGCTGCCGGGTACAGTGGAACAAATTGTGGCACAAGTAAGAAGTTTTGACTTGCTTTTTTTCTTTTTTATGGGCAAACCTAACAGAAAGTACCCACTCATGTTTACCAGTATACGTGCCAGTGTGTTGCTGGGTACAGTGGAACAACCTGTGCCAGAAATAAGAAATATTAACTTGCTCAATTTCTTTGTTTAAGTAAACTTGAATGAAGATATCAAATCATAGTTTTCCTTTATCTCGGTTTACTCAATGCTTGAATTTTCTTTCTAGACATCAATGAATGTGCCAGCTCACCTTGCCAGAATGGTGGAACTTGCGCTGATCAAGTTAACCAGTATACGTGCCAGTGTGCTGCCGGGTACAGTGGAACAAATTGTGGCACAAGTAAGAAGTTTTGACTTGCTTTTTTTCTTTTTTATGGGCAAACCTAACAGAAAGTATCCACTCATGTTTACCAGTATACGTGCCAGTGTGTTGCTGGGTACAGTGGAACAACCTGTGCCACAAGTAAGAAATATTAACTTGCTCAATTTCTTTGTTTAAGTAAACTTGAATGAAGATATCAAATCATAGTTTTCCTTTATCTCGGTTTATTCAATGCTTGAATTTTCTTTCCAGACATCAATGAATGTGCCAGCTCACCTTGCCAGAATGGTGGAACTTGCGTTGATCAAGTGAACCAGTATACGTGCCAGTGTGCTGCAGGGTACAGTGGAACAAATTGTGGCACAAGTAAGAAATTTTGACTTGCTTTATTTTTTGTTTAAGCAAACTTGAATGAAGATATCAAATCATAGTTTTCTTTTTATCTCGGTTTATTCAATGCTTGAATTTTCTTTCTAGACATCAATGAATGTGCCAGCTCACCTTGCCAGAATGGTGGAACTTGCGTTGATCAAGTGAACCAGTATACGTGCCAGTGTGCTGCCGGGTACAGTGGAACAAATTGTGGCACAAGTAAGGAAGTTTGACTTTGCTTTTTTCTTTTTTTAGCAACCTAACAGAAAGTACCCACTCATGTTTACCAGTATACGTGCCAGTGTGTTGCTGGGTACAGTGGAACAACCTGTGCCAGAAATAAGAAATATTAACTTGCTCAATTTCTTTGTTTAAGTAAACTTGAATGAAGATATCAAATCATAGTTTTCCTTTATCTCGGTTTACTCAATGCTTGAATTTTCTTTCTAGACATCAATGAATGTGCCAGCTCACCTTGCCAGAATGGTGGAACTTGCGCTGATCAAGTTAACCAGTATACGTGCCAGTGTGCTGCCGGGTACAGTGGAACAAATTGTGGCACAAGTAAGAAGTTTTGACTTGCTTTTTTTCTTTTTTATGGGCAAACCTAACAGAAAGTATCCACTCATGTTTACC